TCCTCCCCTTTTTGGGGGGGGGGGGGTCCCCCTCGAACCGGGTCCCCGGGGGGCAGAGAGGTCCGTAGCCGCGGGGATGGGGAACCCCGGACATCCCGGCGAGGATCCGGGGGAGGCTGCGGGGTCCTTTCCTCACTTCGGGGATTCCCTAATTTTCCTCGAGCTGCCCCTTTGGGTTTGTGCTCCGGGAGCTCCATCCATCCATCCGTCCGTCCGTCCGTCTGTCCGTCCATCCCTCGGGGGCAGCTCCCTGGGAGCAGCGAGGGGGGAGGGGGGGTCAAGTGGGGAGAGGAGCTGCTTTGGGAGCACAAGAAAAAAAAAAAAAAGGAAGGAGAAAGAAGAGAAAGAAGAGAAAGAAGGGAAAGAAGAGAAAGAGAAATAAGAGAAAGAAAGTAGAGAAAGAAGAGAAAGAAGAGAAAGAATGTAGAGAAAGAAGAGAAAGAAAGAAGAGAGAGAAAGAAGAGAAAGAAAGTAGAGAAAGAAGAGAAAGAATGTAGAGAAAGAATGTAGAGAAAGAAGAGAGAGAAAGAAGAGAAAGAAGAAGCCGCCGAGCAGAGGGGCTGCTTCTGGTGGGACTGGGGGCTGGGAGCCCCTGCTGCTCCATGGGATAAAAATCATCCGAGTCCTCAGAGCAGCTTCGTAGACGTTTGCCAGGGCTGTGCCAAGGTGAGGTCAGACAGGCGCTGAGGAAGGTCTGTCACCATCAAAGCTGCATCAAGAGATCCTAAAAATGAAGCCTTTTCCCTCCCCACGGGTGACACTGGACAGCTCTGGACTGCCGAGTGGTGGTGTTCCCTGCCTGTTCTTTTGGCTCTGACCTCTCTCTTGCATTTTCTTCACTGCTTTTGCTCTATTTTTTTATTTTTTTATTTTTTTTTTGTACTGCATTACTTCTCATTCTGCCTCTCCAGGCTGAGAGAGCTGGGGTTGTTCAGCCTGGAGAAGAGAAGGCTCCGGGGAGACCTTAGAGCCCCTTCCAATATCTGAAGGGGCTACAGGAGAGCTGGGGAGGGACTCTTTGTCAGGAAGTGCAGTGACAGGATGAGGGGTAACGGTTTTAAGTTGGAAGAGGGGAGATTTAGATGAGATACCAGAAAGAAATTCTTTGCTGTGAGGGTGGTGAGGCACTGGAACAGGTTGCCCAGAGAAGCTGTGGCTGCCCCATCCCTGGAGGGGTTCAAGGCCAGGCTGGATGGGGCTTGGAGCAACCTGGTCTGGTGGGAGGTGTCCCTGCCCAGGGCAGGGGGGTTGGAACTCCATGATCTTTAAGGTCCCTTCCAACCCAAACCATTCTATATTTCTATGATTTTGGAAGCTATCTCAATTCTTTCATTTTTGTCTGTCAGACCCTGTTTTTCAGCCCCACGGTATTTCTCTTACTCCTGATTTCCCTCCTCCCACCACTTCCATCTTTTCCTCCTCACCAAGGTCGGGGGGGAAGAGGAAAGGTGCCACCAGCTTCATTGGAAAGTGCTCAAAGATCCCCAACCTCCAGCCCCCAACTGCAACTGCAACACCTCGGGGTTCATCCTGGGGCCAGCCCCACCACCGCAAGGCTCGGGGAAGTACTCGGTGGCCTCTTATCTACTGTTTGTCACCACCGAGCAGATAGTGCTCGTGAGGCCTGGCATCCCCGGATGCCTGGTGGTTTCCCCCGGGGCAGGCCGGCTGTCAGTGCTGCACATCCTGCCCGGGCTGCCTGCAAGTTGCAGGGGCAGAGCTTATGTTATTTCGTAAACACGCTTCAGGAAAGCTAATGTCTTTTTTTTTTAATTTTTTTTTTTAATTATTTTTTTTCTTTAGTTTCATGGTCACCTTCTCCTTAGTTTGGAGAAGAGGAGGCTGAGGGGAGACCTCATTGCCCTCTACAACTACCTGAAAGGAGGGTGTAGAGAGGCAGGGGTTGGCCTCTTCTCCCAAAGGACGAACGACAAGACCAGAGGAAATGGTCTGAAGTTGGGGCAGGGGAGATTTAGATTAGATATTAGAAAGAATTACTTTACTGAGAGAGTGGTCAGGCACTGGAACAGCCTGCCCAGGGAGGTGGTGGAGTCACCATCCCCGGAGGGATTTAAGAAACGTATAGACATGGCTCTTCAGGGCATGCTCTAGTGCCCAAGGTTATTGGTTTATGGTGAGGTGTTGAGTGTGGGGGTTAGTTGGTGGGTGCGGTGTTTTTGGTGGGCGTTTGGTGTGGTGTGTTTTGTATTTGGTTTTTTTATGTTTATTTTGTTTTGTTTTGTTTTTTTGAGGTTGGACTCGATGATCTCAGAGGTCCCTTCCAACCACTAAAATTCTGTGATTCTGTGATTCTCACAGGACTGGTATATTACTTCTGTATAACCCAAACCAGCAAATCTGGGGGAGAAGGATGCTTAGGGCAAAAAAACATACCTGTTTTGAAGCATTGCCTTACTTTGACCCTGGGACTATTTGGCTCCCCGTCCAGAAGCATGTTCCCTGGGGCACCTCTCCCCCTGGTTGCCCTCCCGAGACTCTCCTGGCCCCCTCGGCCGGCAGCGTCTCCGTTGCACAGCGCAGAGGGATGGGGCTCAGGTCCAGCAAGGGGTCAGGAGTGCCCAGGTCACCTACTGCAGTGCACCCCACTGAGCACTCACCGTGTTTAGCCTCTACACCCAAGCCATAGCCTGCGTGAGTCCTTCTCATCCTTCTTGGGTGAGAAGCTCAACATGAGCCAGCAGTGTGCACTGGCAGCCCAGAAAGCCAACCCCATCCTGGGCTGCATCAGGAGAAGTGTGGCCAGCAGGGCCAGGGAGGGGATTCTGCCCCTCTGCTCTGCTCTGGTGAGACCCCACCTGGAGCTCTGTGTCCAGCTCTGGAGTCCTCAGCACAGGAAGGACATGGACCTGTTGGAATGGCTGGAGGGCCATGAAGGTGCTCAGAGGGCTGGAGCACCTCTGCTGTGAAGACAGGCTGAGAGAGCTGGGGTTGTTCAGCCTGGAGAAGAGAAGGCTCCAGCGAGATCTCACAGCAGCCTTCCAATATCTGAAGGGGGCTACAGGAGAGCTGGGGAGGGACCCTTTGACAGGATGAGGGTTAACAGTTTTTAATGGAAAGAGGGGAGATTTAGATTAGATATGAGGAAGAACTTCTTCACTCTGAGGGTGGTGAGGCCCTGGAAGAGGTTGCTCAGAGAAGCTGTGGCTGCCCCATCCCTGGAGGGGTTCAAGGCCAGGCTGGATGTGGCCTTGAGCAACCTGGTCTGGTGGGAGGTGTCCCTGCCCAGGGCAGGGGGGTTGGGACTCGATGATCTTTAAGGTCCCTTCCAACTCTAACCATTCTGTGATTCTCTGAATATAGTGTTTCTTCTGTTTCTTGGCATCTGTTCCTCAGCAATCCCAAACTGCGTGCCCTGGCAACAGCCCTGTCCCCAGGCTTCCTGAGGTTCGGCGGCACCGAGACGGATTTTCTCATCTTCGATCCCAACAAAGATTCAACTTTGGAAGAAAAAATCCTCTGGGAACTTCAGAGCAAGCAAGGTAAAACGGGCACCAACGTGTTAGACTCCGTCCTGGGTTTAGCAGGTAGCTTTGATGCAGGCTGGAGATGCTGCAAGGGCACGGTGGTAACACCGGAGGTCCTCCACAGGGTCACCATTGCTCTCCTCTGTGGAGAGGAGATCTGTGGACCTTCAGCACGGTCCATGGGAGGAGCTGTGCCAGCCATGGGAAAGCGAGGAAGGATGCGGAGGCCCCCATGTCCACCCTGGCATCTGCTGGGACTCTCCCTTTGCTGCCCTGTGCTCCCTCCAGCAGCCTCGGGAGCTCCCCCGGCCTCCCAAGGTCAGCTCAAAAGTTGTGGTTTCATTGTGAAATAATCTAATGAGAACAGAGTGTCCATTTTCTCTATCTTGGCCAAAGCCAGAGCTAGGCTGGGGGTGCAGCCTTGCCCTCCTGTCGCTGGGACAGGGCAAGTGCAGACCCACCAGACCATTGCTAACTGTTCCAGCTTGGTCCTGCTGCACGAGGTTTCCTGCTGCATTCAAGTCCATGTCCTCTCTGAAGCTGGCAAAAGCACACGAACTCTTCTAGATGTGTTTGAGATGAAAAAAAAATTCCCAGAACCCAGCACAACAGTGCAACCGTACAACAGAGTCGTTTAGATGTGGTGTTGGGGGATATGGTGTAGGGGAGAACTTTGTAGAGTGGGGGTTGATGGTTGGACTCGATGATCCCAAGGGTCTCTTCCAACCTGAAGGATTCTGTGATTCCAGGAACAGGCGATGCTCAGTTTGGAAGTCAGGTGGTACTTTGCTGAGCTCTGGGTAACCGTGACTCCACATCCTGGTGACGGCTTGTTCCTGGTTTGCGTGCTGAGAAAAAACAAAACAAAACAAAACAAAAAAAAACAAACCAAAAAAAACCCCACATGAACTTCGAAGAAAAAGCATCTTATGACACATGCCAGCGTTGCCATCAGCACTTCCCCCTGCCTGAGATGGGCAGCGCAGGAAGCATTGCCCCATATCTGCCCGCAGCGAGGCAGCCCATGGACCCTGCCACCCCACTGCTGGGGTGGCTTATCTCCCTGCACGCCGTCAGCTGCCCGGAACCGAGGGGTTTGGGATGGTGCTCCAGCTAAAATAGCTTACCGGGCTGCGACCACCATGATACAAGCCTCCAGAAGCACAGGAGGGTCTTCCCACACTCCCCCGGCACCTTAAATTGGGAAATGCACATCATATATATATAAAATGCATTATTGCGTAGCAAGACAGACCTCTGGCTCTCAGCCTGGCACCCAGCAGTGGTGCCTCCTCCCGAGGGATCACGGAATCATGGAATTGTCAGAGTTGGAAGGGACCTCTAGAGACCATCCAGTCCAACCCCCCTGCCAAAGCAGGGCTGCCCAGAGCACATCACTCAGGAGCATCCAGGCGGGGCTTGAAGATCTCCAGAGAAGGGGACTCCACACCCTCCCTGGGCAGCCTCTGCCAGGGCTCTGCCACCCTCACCCCAAACAAGTTCTTCCTCACATTGGAGTGGAACTTCCCATGGTCCAGCTTGTGCCCGTTGCCCCTCGTCCTGTCACTGGGAACCACTGAGAAGAGTCTGGCTTCATCCTCCCTCAACCCCCCCTTTAGATACTTCATAGAATCATAGAATCATAGAGTTGCCCAGGCCGGAAGGGACCTCCAAAGGCCATCTAGTCCGACCTCCCCACAGTCAGCAGGGACATCCCCAACCAGACCAGGTTGCCCAGGGCCTCGTCGAGCCTCTCCTTGAATATCTCCAGGGATGGGGCCTCAACCACCTCCCTGGGCAACCTGTTCCAGTGCTCCACCACCCTCACAGTAAAGAACCCTCTCCTCATCTCCAGTCTAAATCTGTTCCCCTCCAGCTTGAAGCCATTGCCCCTCGTCCTGTCACTGCAGGCCTTTCTAAACAGGTTCTCCCCAGCCTTCCTGTAGGCCCCCTTCAGGTACTGGAAGGCTGCTCTTAGGTCTCCCTGGAGCCTCCTCTTCTCCAGGCTGAACAACCCCAGCTCCCTCAGCCTGTCCTCGTAGCAGAGGTGCTCCATCCCCCTGATCATCCTTGTGGCCCTCCTCTGGACCCTCTCCATCAGGTCTATATCCTTCTTATATTGAGGGCTCCAGACCTGCACACAATACTCCAGGTGAGGTCTCACCAGAGCAGAGTAAAGTGGCAGAATCCCCTCTCTGGACCTGCTGGCAACGCTTCTTTTGATGCAGCCCAGGGTGGGATTGGCCTTCTGGGCTGCAAGTGCCCACTGCCTGCTCATGTCCAGCTTCTCCTCCACCAGCACCCCCAAGTCCCTTTCCTCAGGGCTGCTTTCCAATCCCTCACCCCCTAGTTTGTATTGGTGGCGAGGATTGTTCCGGCCCAATCCTTGTCAGCATGAACAAGGTCTCCCCTCAGCCTTCTCTTCTCCAGGCTCAAGAGCCCCAGCTCTCTCAGCCTTTCCTCATCAGGGAGAGGCTCCAATCCCTCCATCATCTCTGGTGCCCTTCGCTGGACTCTCTCCAGCAGTTCCCTGTCTCTCTTGAACTGGGGAGCCCAGAACTGGACGCAGGATTCCAGTTGTGGCCTCCCCAGTGCAGAGCAGAGGGGGAGAATGACCTCCCTCCACCTCCTGGCCACACTCTTCCCTACGCAGCCCAGGATCCCATTGGCCTCTTGGCCACCAGGGCACATTGCTGGCTCATGGAGAGCTTACTGTCCACCAGGACCCCCAGATCCTTCTCAGTAGTACTTCCCAGAAGATCCACCCCTAACCTGTATTGGTGCCTGGGGTTCTTCTTCCCCAGGTGCAGGACCCTACATTTGTCCTTGTTGAACCTCATGAGGTTCTTCTCTGCCCAGCCCTCCAGCCTGTTCAGGTCGCGCTGGATGGTGGCACAGCCCTCTGGGGTGTCAGCCACCCCTCCCAGTTTGGTATCATCAGCAAACCTGCTGAGAACACACCCTTGTCCAGGTCATTGATGAATATGTCGAACAGGGCTGGGCCAAGTATTGACCCCTGAGGGACACCACTGGTCACAGGCCTCCAACATGACCTTGCTCCATTGAGTCCTGTCACACAACCAGGACTCAATCCACCTCACTGCCCCCTCATCTATCCCACACTTCCTTAATTTTCTAATCAGGATGTTATGGGAGACGGTGTCAAAAGCCTTGCTGAAGTCAAGCCAGGGTCCTTCACGTGCTGGACGCTGGCCGTGAAGACGAGGACTTATCGCTCTCAACTTTCTTCTGCCCTAACAGAGGCTTGCGGCTCCAGGCCGGCGTTCGCCGCAGTGGAGAAGCTGCTGCTGGCCCAGTGGCCCAGCCAGGAGAAGCTGATTCTTGCAGAGCATAACTGGAAAAAGCACAAAAACACCACCATCACAAGTAAGGCTTTTTGATGGGGATTTCTGCTGGGGTTTATAACCAGGGGGCTGCGACTTTCTGCCCTGCAGTGAAAGGGTTGTAGGCTGTTGGGAGCTGAAACCACTGGAAACGAGTATTTTTTCTAAGTGGGTGAAGTGTTTCCAAGAAATCTTTTTCCACTGTCTGCCACCTTGTATTTAGCAGTAATCAGCTGCTGCAGGGGTTGGGAAAGAGGAGGCTGAGGGGAGACCTCATCACTCTCTACAACTACTTGAAAGGCCATTGTAGAGAGGTTGGAGCTGGTCTCTTCTCACAGGTAATTAGCCACAGAATGAGAGGGAATGGTTTCAAGCTGCAACAGGGTAGGTTTAGACTGAACATTAGGAAAGAGTGTTTCACAGAAAGAGTGGTCGGGCATTGGAACAGGCTGCCCAGGGAGGGGGTGGAGTCACCATCCCTGGACGTGTTTAAGAGTCATTTAGATGTGGTGTTGGGGGATATGGTGTAGGGGAGAACTTTGTAGAGTGGGGTTGATGGTTGGACTCGATGATCCCAAGGGTCTTTTCCAACCTGAATGATTCTATGATTCCATGATCTCAAGGCTTTTCAGGGTGGCCTGGGCTCTTCTGTCTGGCTGGGGGAGCCTGGCACATCTGCAGCACCAGGCTACAGAAATACAGGCAGGGAAGACCATCACTTGGCCGAAGCTCAACTAGCGCACTGTGACCTTGAGACAAACATCCTCCCTTTCTCCTCCCCGCAGGAAACACGCTGGATATTCTCTACAGCTTTGCAAACTGCTCGGGGTTTCACCTGGTCTTCGGGCTCAACGCCTTGCTGCGGAAAGACGGCTTGCAGTGGGACAGCTCGAACGCCCGGGCACTGCTGGACTACTGTGCCTCACGGAGCTACAACATCTCCTGGGAGCTGGGAAACGGTAAGCGGGAAGCCTGCTGGTGGGCCAGGTCAGTGGTCACCTGGAAAGGTATGGCCGCAGGGTACTGGCCAGTAATTTTGGATGTTTCGGATGACAGCCCAATAAAGGTAAAGCAATGTTTTATTGGGAAAGAATTAAGGTCTTAATTGGCAAGGAGAGGTTGTCACAGAAGGCCCAACAAATGAGTGAATTGAGATGATTTTGCTGCTCCTACCTGAGATGAGGTGAACAAAACCCCCCGAGGAGCGGTGTGTCACCTACGGGGACTGGCTGGGACAGAGCGCTGGTGAGCAGCACGCTGCGTCCCACAGGCTTTCGTTTTTGTGCTCATCACCTTCCAATATCTCATGGGTACCGTGCCAGATCCCATGAAAGCGTAGGCAGTTGGTACCCCCCATGTGGCATGAGCTGCCCTGTTAAAGCCCCGAAACTAGAGTGGGGTCCTGATGGCATGCGTGTCTTCCCCAGAGCCCAACAGCTTCAGGAAGAAATCTGGTGTCTACATCGATGGCTTCCAGCTGGGGCAAGATTTTATTCGCTTACGCCAACTTCTGAGTGACTATACCCTCTACCAGCACGCGAAGCTCTACGGTCCTGACGTCGGGCAGCCCCGAAAGCACACACAGAAACTGCTGAGAAGGTAGGAGTGTTGGGGTCCCAGCAGCAACCCCTGGGGTGGGCAGTGGTGGCTCCTCTCCAATGAGACTTGAGTAGGGCAGTGATGGTGCCTCTGGACTGGGCACTGGTGAGGCCTCACCTCGAGGGCTGGTTCAGTTCTGGGCCAATCACCACAAGAAGGACATTGAGGGGCTGGAGCATGTCCAGAGGAGAGCCACCAAGCTGGGGAGGGGTCTGGAGAACAAGTCCTACGAGGAGAGGCTGAGGGAAGAGGGCATGTTTAGTTTGGAGAAGAGGAGGCTGAGGGGAGACCTGCTTGCCCTCTCCAGCTCCCTGACAGGAGGGTGGAGAGAGGTGGGGGTTGGCCTCTTCTCCCAAGGGAATCATGAGAGGAAGAGAGGAAATGGTCTGAAGTTGGGGCAGGGGAGGTTTAGATGAGATCTGAGGAAGAATGACTTTGCTGAGAGGGGGGTCAGGCCCTGGAAGGGCCTGCCCAGGGAGGTGGTGGAGTCACCATCCCTGGAGGGATTTCAGAAAGGTGTAGACATGGCACTTGAGGGCATGCTCTAGTGCCCGAGATTGTTGGGTTATGTCTGTTCGTGGGTTGGTTTTTTTTGTTTGGTTTGGGGTTTTTTTTGATTGGACTCGATGATCTCAAAGGTCTCTTCCAACCATGAAATAGTCTGTCTGTGAGACACAGGGAGCGTGAGGAGGCATCTGGGCAGGGTTTTACGGATTTTCTGCTCCAAATCAATAGTAAGAATGTACAAACGGGTATGTCCAGTCTATTTGAGAACTAATTTCCTGCATTTTTCCTTAAACTAGAAACATGGATTTTGTTTTTTTCCTTGGCTGGGGATGACCGAAATCTTATTTGTGTGCACCAGCTCAAGGACTAAATACTCAGCCAGTTGAAACTAAGACTCCAGCAGTACCGCAGGGACCTGCACACCTTTCAATCGAGTGCCTGCCCCAGTGCTGTGCCAGCAAGGGCTTTTCAACCTAGAAATCTCCATGTGTTATACAAAATTAATATTCATCCTCCCAGCAACCTGCTTAGGCAGCTCAGGCTGCCCAAAGCCCCTTTAGAAGTCACCACAAGCATGGCCCCAAAGAAGTTCTCCATCACCGCTACCAGCCAGGGGGGAGAGGGGAGGGCTGGGCATGGCAGCTCAGTTGTGGGGGACCATGACCGCACACCGGTACCCGCTAACCCCCTGCTCTCCACTGCATCTTCTCTGGTTACAGCTTCCTGAAGTCAGGAGGGAAGGTGATCGATTCCGTCACGTGGCACCAGTAAGTACCTCTCGGATGGTGGTGTCACTCTGTGTATCGCCTGTTTGCTTTACAAAATACCCATTGCAACATCTCAACAGGAAAGGAGGAGTGAAATACCCCTTTCAGCAGCTCCTCGTGTGTCTCTCTGCAAACTCCTCTGCTCGGCATGAGAGATGAATCGAGGGAGCAGGTGGAGGGAGGTCATCCTGCCCCTCTGCTCTGCCCTGGGGAGGCCCCAGCTGGAGCACTGGGACCAGTTCTGGGCTCCCCGGTTCCAGAAGGACAGGGAACTGCTGGAGAGGGGACAGCAGAAGCTACAGAGATGATGAGGGGCCTGGAGCATCTCCCTTACGAGGAGAGGCTGAGGGACATGGGCCTTTTTAGTCTGGAGAAGAGAAGGCTGAGGGGGGATCTGATCAAGGCTTATAAATACTTCAAGGGTGGGTGTCAGGAGGATGGGGCCAGTCTTTTTTCAGTGGTGCCCAGGGACAGGACAAGAGGAAATGGGCACAAACTTGAATATAAGATGTTCCACCTGGACACGAGGAGGAATTTCTTTGCTGTGAGGGTGGCAGAGCCCTGGCAGAGGCTGCCCAGGGAGGTGGTGGAGTCTCCTTCTCTGGAGACATTCAAACCCCACCTGGACACATTCCTGTGCAACCTGCTCTGGGTGGACCTTCTTTGGCAGGGGGTGTTGGACTAGATGATCTCCAGAGGTCCCTTCCAACCCCATGGGATTCTGTGTGAGCACGTTAGGAGAAGTGCAGAAGGTCTCCAAAGAGGCTACTTGGTGGGGGTTTTGCAATGCAGGCGTAGCAGCCGGGCATGCCGTGTGAGCAGGACAGTCGTTTGGCTTGCTCAATACGTGCGGTGAGAAAAAACAGAAGTGGGATGTGGAGAAAGAGACGGCACGGCAGCTTTTAATTCCCAGAAGGGTGTGCGGGGGCAGGTCACGGCTCTCCCTCTGGCATGGCGAGAGCTCCTGCAGTGACTGAGCCTTTTTGCATACTCCGTGTCTCAACACGTACCACAAGCTAGTGAGATGTGAGCAGCAGTCCCGGTTGTCTCAAAGCTCCGAGCTACCAACGGAATCATGGAATTGTCAGAGTTGGAAGGGACCTTCTAGAGACCATCCAGTCCAACTCCCCGGCCAAAGCAGGGCCACCCAGAGCAGGTCCCACAGGAATGTGTCCAGGTGGGTTTGAATGTCTCCAGAGAAGGGGACTCCACACCCTCCCTGGGCAGCCTCTGCCAGGGCTCTGCCACCCTCACCCCAAATTCTTTTTTCCTCGTATTTCAATGGAACTTCCTACATTCCAGCTTGCAGCCCTTGCGAATAAAATGCACTTTCTCACAGGAAGGAGGAAAAAGGAAAAGGCATCAGCTCAGGCTTACTCAGCAGCAATGACTCCGCTGAACTTCTGCAAAAGCCAAAGTTTTTTTAACGTTAAGGTTTTAAACAACCCGTGGGCTTTGAAATGGTGTCAGTGTGCCTGGCGTTGGTGTTCTCCTTCACACCAGAAAGGCTGGATCTGCTGAGTGAAAGCCTCACTCCCTAAAAGCAAATTCAAGGATCCCGCTGGCAAAGGCACCTAACTCCTTGTAAAAAATGCAGCAGGAGCCTCGTTAGCTGATGCGTTAAACGCTGCCTTTTTGTCTCTATTTATGTCTGCTTGATAAAAACGAAAAGCTCTGCAGGTCTGGTGGACCCTCACCCATAGAGAAGTGCTGGCAGCTTCTCCTGCTCCCTTACCTTTGTTCTCTCAGGGGGTTCGGGCTGTGTGTGTGGGTAACTTGCTCTCAGATCCCACCTGCCATGAGCCCCACGTGCTTGAAAGTGATTTCCACGTGAAGGGGGTTCTTCCTTCTGGAGTCAAATGCAGCGTGGTGTCATGCAGCAGCTGGGTAACAGAGGAAAAAGATGCACACACTTATATTTATGTATACATGTACGGCTTGCCTGTGTATTTTGAGCTTCTAGCAAAGCATTGAAGATGGATGGAAGCATTTCCGGCTGGATATTAGGAAAAATTTTTTCACTGAAAGGGTTCTCAGGCATTGGAATGGGCTGCCCAGGGAGGTGGTTGAGGCCCCATCCCTGGAGGTGTTCAAAAGACGGGTTGATGTAGTGCTGGGAGGTCTGGTTTAGTGATGATGTTCCTTGTTTGTTGTGTGGGTGTCTGTTTTTGTCAGTTGGGTTGACGGTTGGACAAGATGATCTTTAAGGTCCCTTCCAACCTAGAAGATTCTGTGATTCTGTGATTCTGTGATGTCTTCTCCCCTTCCTGGGCTGTTCTTGCCCTGTGGCTGCCTTCGCTTTAAATGGGCATGCGTTATTTTCTTTACTAATTTGGGATTATTGGGGTTTAGCTTCCTCTCGTGGCTGGAAGACTTCAGCTACTTCTGGTAGGATGGAGCGACAGATGAAATGCAAATACCATGGGGATCCAAATTCCCTTCTGTTCTTTATTCAGACAAACCAGACTTCAAAGCTCTTCTGCTCATGGTGGAGGGCAATCTTCATCCTGTAGGGATGCCTCCAGCCTGTCCCCCTCCAGATGGCCAAAATATTCCATCAGAAGGTGGGGTCTAGTATTTTTAATATATAGCTTGAAACAGAAAAGCAAGTAGCCATGTAGGAGCATCAGACTCCTCAGCAAGAGAAGATTTATAGAAACTGGCTCTTATTCAGTGATGTTTTCCTTGTTCTACATGAAAAAAAAAAAAAAAAAACAACCCTACTACTTCTGTTGATCAAAATTTCTGTGATATCCTGCCTCCAGCGAGGTAATTACCCCTGATAGTCCCTTAAATACAAACAACATACCTACAAATTTGGGGGAAAAAAAAAGAACTGGACAGAAAAATAGTGCTGTGGATAAATGCCTCAAGTAACTGACTGCTTTTGGTGGTGTTTTGTACCAGTAGTGATATCTTTCCTTAATTTTGCCTGTGGTTTTGTGTTGTTTTTTTTTCTATTTCCAGCTACTATGTGAATGGACGAAGTGCAACGAGGGAGGATTTCTTGAGCCCCAAAGTGCTGGATAGCTTTGCCACATCCGTACATGAAGTCCAGCAGGTGCTTTGTCCTGCTCAATCATTCCTATGTTCAGTTTCCAGGGCGTTAGCAGAGAATTCGGAATAAAGTATAATTTCCCACTAGCAATAAACAGGGACCCTCGAAGCTTGGGTGCTGCTGCCATTGGAAATAAATAAAAAATAAAAAATTAACAATACTAATACTAAATGAGTTCCAGTAGCTTCCCATGCAGGAAGCAAGATGCCAGACACATTGCAAACCTACAACATTCTCATTTATCGATGTCGTCATTACGTTACAGGGATGTAAATTTATAATCATACCCCACCCACCCCTAATTTCTTTGTATTTTGAGATCCTAAGAACAGTATAACTTAGAGTGTAGCACTACTCAGCATGAGAAGACTTACAGAACGTGGCTTTTAGTAATGTTTGCCTCATTCTACATGTGTAGACATGATTATTTTTGGGGGGGGGGGAGCAAGTTTGCTTCTAGTCGTTTTGATCAAGATTTCTGTGACACCCCACCTCAGGTAGTGTTATCCCTTAAATTCAAACGTCATACCTAGGCATTTGGCTAAAGCACAAAATTTGGACTGCCCAACTCTTTCAGTAGCCAAAAAACTTAACTGTTGTCTCTCTCTCTTCTTCCCTACGCCACACTGGCCAGATCGTTGGTGGGACTGTGCCCGAGAAGAAGATCTGGCTAGGAGAGACGAGTTCTGCCTACGGAGGTGGAGCTCCCAGGCTGTCCAACACTTATGTTGCTGGCTTTATGTGAGTACCGTGTCACAGGTCTGGGGAAATCACACAATTTCCCAGCTGAAGGGGATTGCACATGTGCCCCGTGGGAGGAACATCTCCCTCAGGCTTCCTGGGGAGCACAGGCAAGGGGTGGGTTGAGGATCGTAACCATCCCACCGCTCCATGTGTGTTTTCCCTATGCCTGAGGTTTGAGGTAGGACCAGGTAATTGATTCCTACGGGAAATGGAGGATGAGAAGCATGAGAACGTTGGATTTCTGCCCTCAAATCTGCAATGCTAACTCACTCCATCCATGAAGATGGAAGGCCGTTCACAAGATGGGTGTCCATTTCCGATGTTATCCTTTGGCCACCATGAAATAACTAACCAAAGGGAAATTTAGTCATGAAAATTATTTTCTCCAAGGACTCCTGCTGTAGCATTTTGTTGAAATAAAAAAAAAAAAAAAAATCAGGCTTTTCTTAGCACTTTGATCAGTTTGTAGATTCAGGGAGATAAAATTGATGGGAATGTGCAGTTCACACTTTGAAAAATTAACCAAAAACCTGGTTGGAATGTATTGTTTTCCCTCCTATAAGGCATGATGATCTTTTCATCAGGGCCTGATGGGTCAGCAACTCCAAGCCTGGTAATGGCAGGCAACCTTGTTTGTTGGTGTGATGACTTCTCGCAGCCTTCAGGCCTTTGGCCAGTTCAGGAGCATCTGCTGCCCCTCTCCCAGTTTCCACCACCTGCAAACAGGGAAGTGGAGCAACTGTTCCCACCAACTCTAGAGGTGGTCTGAAATTATTTTTTTTAAGGTAATCGATGCAAGACTTGAATTGAAATTAGTTGTGTGGTTTTAAGGAAGTGGGCATCATGCCCTAACTCTTGCTTTCCTGCTTTCCCCAGCTGGTGTTGAAAAGGGGCAACGGCGTACAGCTGAGGTCAGCCGCGTCATCTGCGCCTTCTTTGCCTCATTTTTTTGGCAGGTGGTTGGACAAACTCGGGCTTTCAGCCAGGCAGGGGATTGACGTGGTGATGAGACAGGTTTTCTTCGGGGCGGGGACCTACCACCTGGTGGACGCCAACTTTGAGCCTTTGCCGGTACGTATGCAACCCCGCATATATATGTGTGTATATATATACATACACAGACACACAGGATATTTACTGGCACTGCAGGGGTGCAGCTAGACTCCAGCAAAGCAGGGGCTGATTTCTGGGACACGATGCTCTGATTTGTAGGCAGACACTTCTGGAGTTCACAAGGCTTTTCTGGATGGACAGTTTTGGTTGGAGTACTCCCCAGCTGAATGATGAGTAGCTTTTAAAAAGAAGTGATATCATAGAATGGTTAGAGTTGGAAGGGACCTTAAAGATCATCGAGTTCCAACCCCCCTGCCCTGGGCAGGGACACCTCCCACCACACCAGGTTGCTCCAAGCCCCATCCAGCCTGGCCTTGAACCCCTCCAGGGATGGGGCAGCCACAGCTTCTCTGGGCAAACTATTCGAGTGTCTCAACACCATCACAGCAAAGAATTTCTTTCTGGTATCTCATCTAAACCTCCCCTCTTCCAATTTAAAACCGTTACCCCTTGTCCTGTCACTGCACTTCCTGACAAAGTATTATAATAAATTAGATCCCAAGTGAAAACCAAACCGACATGAAGTCACGACTCGAGCGTTTCTTGGGTCGTTGGCATATTTAGTCTTCAGCAGTGGCTGAAAGATAATTAAGTGAAAACATGCATTTGGTATAGTCAGGTTTATTAAGATAAAACATTGTGCTGCAATGAAACATCATTATTTAAACTATACGTTGTTCTTGCATGTACAGCATGTTTCTTTGTGCTGGTAGCACTTACCCTGGGGAGAGAGGACAGCATCTTTCCTCTTAGCTTTCCTCTCATTTTTCTGCTTCCAAGTTGTGATTTTCACAGGCTCACAGAGACCATCTGAGAGGAAACCCAGCATATGGGCTTTTCCTGGCCTGCCTGTTCAGCTGGTCTCTGTGCCAGGGGCTGCGTTGTCAGGCTTGTTGCTTTGGGCTTTTTATTCCTTCTGAGGAATAAAAAAAAAAAATAAAATAACAGAACAAAATAAATAGAAGAAATATATAAACTATAAATAAATAAAATAATTAATTTATTTAAATGAAAAGAGGCTGAGGAGAGACCTCATCACTTTCTACAACTACTTGAAAGGCCCTTGTAGAGAGGTTGGTGCTGGTCTCTTCTCCCAGGTAATTAGTGACAGAACAAGAGGGAATGGCTTCAAGCTGCAACAGGGCAGGTTTAGGGTGGCCATTAGGAAACAATTCTTCATGGAAAGAGTGGTCAGAGACTGAATAGGCTGCCCAGGGAGGGGGTTGAGTCACCATCCCTGGATGTGTTTAAGAGTCATTTAGATGTGGTGTTGGGGGATATGGTGTAGGGGAGGACTTTGCAGAGTGGGGTTGAGGGTTGGACTTGATGATCCCAAGGGTCTTTTCCAACCTGAATGGTTCTATGATTTAACATAGATTTAATTTGGACTGAAAGGATGTGCCTTGTTCCTCATCTGCAGGCAGCAGAGATGTTAATCAAGCTAATAATGATTTAGAGGCAGGGAAATCGAAAGCCAGGTCCATCACCCAAAAGGCTGCATCTTCTTGCAGAGGGCTGAGCATACAGGCCAATAGGAAAAGTTACTTCCCTGGGCTCACACAGGGAGTCAGGAGAGAAACCTGACCGTTTTCCTTCTAGGAAAACCTCAAAGACAAAGATGGATGAGCTGGGAGAAGCTCTCTGAAACACTGCAAAATGCAGCCTATGCAGCCTACTACTCACAAACACATCTGTGCAGACCACGAGTTCTCTTTGGGCATGGACTTCGTAGAGGAAAAGTAGCGGTCAAGATGCAAGAAAAAACAAACCTGGAAAAAATGAGTCTGTACTGGGCATCGCCCTGCTCTCAGGCATTGTCCTGGGGTGTCAGAGGATTTACAGAACCACAGAATTACAGAATCACATGGGGTTGGAAGGGACCTCTGGAGATCACCTAGTCCAACCCCCTGCCAAAGCAGGGCCACTCAGAGCAGGTTGCACAGAAATGTGTCCAGGTGGGGTTTGGAATGTCTCCAGAGAAGGAGACTCCACCACCTCCCAGGCCTCTGCCACCCTCACAGGAAAGAAGTTCCTCCTCATGGTTAGGTGGAACTTCTTATGTTCAAGTTTGTGCCCATTTCCTCTTGTCCTGTCCCTGGGCACCACTGAAAAAAGACCGGCCCCATCCTCTTGACACCCTCCCTTGAAGTATTTCTAAGCCTTGATCAGATCCCCCCTCAGCCTTCTCTTATCCAGACCAAAAAGACCCAAGTCCCTCAGCCTCTCCTCCTAAAAGAGATGCTCCAGGCCCCTCATCATCTTTGTAGCCCTCTGCTGTCCCCTCTACAGCAGTTCCCTGTCCTTCTGGAACTGGGGAGCCCAGAACTGGTCCCAGTGCTCCAGCTGGGGCCTCCCCAGGGCAGAGCAGAGGGGCAGGATGACCTCCCTCCACCTGCTGGTCATATTCTTCTTGATACACCCCAGGATGCCACTGGCCTTCTTGGCCACCAGGGCCCATTGCTGGCTCATGGCCATCCTGTTGTCCACCAGGACTCCCAGGTCTTTCTCCTCAGAGCTGCTCTCCAGCAGGTCCCCCCCAACCTGTCCTGGTGCAGGGGGTTATTCCTCCCCAGGTGCAGCACCCTACACTTGCCTTCATTGAATTTCATCCAGTTCCTCTCTGCCCAGCTCTCCAGCCTGTTCAGGTCACAGGATTTACTCGACTGGCATTCAGAAGTTAATCCCAAGACCTGTTCAAAAGCACAAAGTCAGTGAAAGGCAAATAATTTGCCAGGGTGTTTCTTCCGCATCGTGCCTGTGGGTTCAGCCCTGAGATGCTCCCTACCCTGCAGGGGGGCACTTCCAAGCAGACCCTCCCACACAAAAAGAGCTCTGACACTTGCCTAGGAAGAGGAAAATGACTTTAAGGTACCTTGTAAACACAGCTGCTCTGCAGCTTGGAGGCAGGGTCTTCTCTTTAGCTATGCTGTTTGTGGGAATTTAAATGTATATGGTGAAAAACTTGGTAAAGCAAAAAATTATGGGGGGAAAAAACCCTTTGAAATTACCAGCAAATTGAATGGTATGTGAAGGACCATGTGGCATGGGCATGTACACAAGTGCATACGTGTGTTTTTGTCCCTCCCAGGACTACTGGCTCTCGCTGCTCTACAAGAAGCTGGTGGGTACCAAAGTGTTGCATGTCAGCCTGGTGGGAGCCGACGAGAAGCAGCTCCGTGTCTACCTCCACTGCACCAACACCCTCCAGTAAGCTTCCTGAAAGGGTGAAATGTCCCAGAAACCGAGCCCACGGCCACCCCCAGGCCAACAAAAGCAAACTGGGACAGTGCAAAGACGCACGTTATTTCTGTGAAACTTCTTTCTCTCCTGATCCCCACCATCATCTTCTCTTGCCTTGCAGCCCGAAGTACAGAGAAGGGGACGTGACGCTGTTTGCCTTAAACCTCTACAATGTCACCCAACATTTGCAGCTACCGAATTACTTATCGAGCAAGCACGTGGACCAGTACCTCTTACTGCCTCATGGCAAAGAGACCATACTTTCCAGGTAAACGTGCAAGTCCTCCTATCTCTGTAGAAAGGATTGTGAGCGGAGTTAGTTTTTACGGCCTGTAAAACCTCTCCTTCTTCTAGTTGCAGGTGTGTGGGGGGGTGTGAGGTTACCGTTCAGTCATCTGGGGTCTTCTTCAGTTAGGTCTGATTTCTCTTAAATCAGGTCTCCTAAAATAATAATAATAAAAAATAATAATAATTAAAAAAATAATAATAACAACCACCACAAAACAACACAGAATCACAGAATCCTTGTGGTTGGAAGGGACCTCTGAGATCATCAAGTCCAACCACAAAAAAACAAACAAACAAACAAACAAAAAAACCCAAACAAATACAAAACACACCACACCAAACGCCCACCAAAAACACCGCACCCACCAACTAAACCCCACACTCAACACCTCACCATAAACCAATAACCTTGGGCACTAGAGCATGCCCTGAAGAGCCATGTCTATACGTTTCTTAAATCCCTCCAGGGATGGTGACTCCACCACCTCCCTGGGCAGGCTGTTCCAGTGCCTGACCACTCTCTCAGTAAAGTAGTTCTTTCTAATATCTAATCTAAATCTCCCTTGCCCCAACTTCAGACCATTTCCTCTGGTCTTGTCGTTCGTCCTTTGGGAGAAGAGGCCAACACCTGCCTCTCTACAACCTCCTTTCAGGGAGTTGTAGAGGGCAATGAGGTCTCCCCTCAGCCTCCTCTTCTCCAAACTCAACATGCCCACTTCCCTCAGCCTCTCCTCATAGGACTTGTTCTCCAGGCCCCTCACCAGCTTGGTGGCTCTCCTCTGGACACGCTCCAGCACTTCAATGTCTTTCCTGTAGTGAGGGGCCCAAAACTGTTCTGCTGTTAATCTCGTTGAGAAGAGTAGGAAACGTGCACTTTTCAACTTGTTTGTGCTGCGAGGACACTCTAAGGGAGTGCAGCAGATGCTCTGCGTGTGTGTGTACAACATACACAAACCCTCAAGGGAAGTTTAGTTTGGCTTTGGGGTGAGCTTATGTTTACACTCAGGTCCAGGGCTGTTTTGCTCCACGGCAAACAGAGCCCAGCTGCCCAAACAGCTCTCTCCTTCCCTCTCCAGGTCTATGGAGCTGAACGGCCGCGTGCTACGGATGGTGGATGACAAAACGCTGCCAGAGCTTATGGAAAAACCCCTTGGTCCCGGCAGCACGTTCGGCCTCCCAGCCTTCTCCTACGGCTTTTACGTTATCAGAAACGCCAAAGCTACTGCTTGCATTTAAAGGGCTGCACGCGCGCACGCAGGACAAGTGTAAAGCACTCGGCTCGTTAGGGAAGTTTAATCCTAGAAATTCACGTTTCTGCCGTGAGATTTAATTCTGGCAAGGGATTGCAGGTGTGGCAGCACCGCGACAGCCTGTGGGCTGGGGGAAGCAGGAGGTCGCGCTGGGTGATTGGTACAGGAAAGATGCTCCTTAAGCATCCTTGGAGATGATCCAAGAAGAGCTATCCCAGGAAGGAGCTGGATTTGCTCTCGAGTCACTGTGCCCGAGCATGGAGACCTTTTCCACGCCACACGTGGAGCTGAATCAACTTCTCATGCTGCACCTGGGGTTCTGCCAGCCGGGAACTGCAACCTCCCCTCTCCCTCATTTCTGCAAGCACAGCTCTTGAAGCAGTTCCTTCAAAAGTTTTCCTTCGGAAAGGACAGATGAGCAGGGTTTTCGTTGCAGCTGTACAGCTGTGATTTTGCCTGCACCACGTGGGGAAGCCTGAGGAGGGGGCTGAGGTTGCTGAGGGCATCTTGGGGTGGAAAGCGAGGACACACAAAGCCAAGCGTGGTCAGAACGCCTGGCTGAGAAACCAGGTCCTCCATGGGATTTGGGGCAGCAGCAGCATGTATTTTTCCCAAGCTAGGAGAGTTTGGTCACAAGAAGGAGCTGTGGCCATATGTGGCTTTCCAAAGGCAAGTTTTTGACACAGGAAATGCAGGCTGTTCCTGCAGGGTGGTCCTACCTCTGCCCCCACACACTTCATCCCTGGGAGGAGAGGAGCCCATCAGCGCCCAGGCAAACCCTCCATGGTCAGTGGGCTGCATGGGGAGGGCTCATGACTGGTTCAGCTGGAAAGGACTTCCCTGAACACATCTGCAGGTGAAGCTCTGCTTTACACTCCCCAACTCACTCAGGTTTCTTCTGTCCTTGAGGAAAGGGAAGAATAAGGAGACTGAGCAAAACCCCAACCCTTCCACCATCGGAGGGACTTCAGTGGCCTTAGAACATCCTGGGGACAAACCTGCGCACCCTGCTGAGGTCCAGTGGGCCACCAGCTACTTTCCTCTGGCTGGAGGGCTGCTGGTCTGCAGGTCAGCAGAAAGCCTGGGAGAATACCTCTGGTCTTCCCCACACGTTTATTTGCACCTGCTTTTTTTTGAGCCATATAACTCATGCCACTGTCAGCGCCTTACAATATTTTGAGCACAGCAGGAAAAAACTCTATTTCCCTTCTTAAAAAAAACTTTCAAGTGATGCCACCAGCTACATGAGGTTTCAACGCAAGGCAGGGGGGAGAGGGAGCCGTTTTTAGTGAGAAGACTTTAAAAACAGACACACTTTGGAAGCTGTGGTGAAAAACTGCACGCCGAAAAGTTGGTATTTAAGTTCACTATGAAAACAGTTTTTGTACCCGCAGTGCAGATGCATTCTGTGAAGGGTTATGTATCAGGGGGTAATATAGATCAGAAATGAGACTAATGAAGGCTAAGTTTGTTTACATTGTCCAAAGCAAAGAGAGCATAAAATGGAGTGAAAAGTCTTACATACAGTCAATGTAAAGTTAATAATATATTATTATTATAGTAATGTCAGTTACAACTAAGACATCAAAGTTATCATTTGCCTGGTAGCTTCTTTTTACAACTTTTCTAACAGTTTTGTTAATTCCAATGCTTGTGGCTTATACTTGAAGATTTTAATTAAAGTGGTTTTTACCAGCTTTCGGCAATCTTCCTTTTTTTTTAAGACTCCATTTTTTGGCATACTGACACCGTGAAACTCCCTACATTTCTTTTGGTCGTACAGCATCTGTGCTTTGCATGATTCCCAATGAGAGTAGTCAAGAAAATCAGAATGAAAGCAAGAATACCCAGGTTGGTGTGCTTCAGTTGTAGTTGACCACCAGTTGAGAAGCCCTCCAAGCCCCTGTCTGACTCAGACACAATACGTGGGCTGATGGTCGGCATGCAGGAACTAGTCACAGAATCACAGGATAATATGGGGTTGGAAGGGACCTCTGGAGATCATCTAGTCCAACCCCCTGCCAAAGCAGGGCCACCCAGAGCAGGTCCCACAGGAACGTGTCCAGGTGGGTTTGAATGTCTCCAGAGAAGGAGACTCCACCACCTCCCTGGGCAGCCTCTGCCAGGGCTCTGACACCCTCACAGCAAAGAAGTTCCTCCTCATGTCCAGGTGGAACGTCTTGTATTCAAGTTTGTGCCCATTTCCTCTTGTCCTGTCCCTGGGCACCACTGAAAAAAGACCGGCCCCATCCTCCTGACGCCCTCCCTTGAAGTATTTCTAAGCCTTGATCAGATCCCCCCTCAGTCTTCTAGTCGAGGAGTACAGAGATGTCTGGGGATGCAAATGACGACTGCTCCAGCTTCACCTCCCAGCCATGTCTCCTTCTCTGAGCACACAGCCTGGCTCTTCTCACGGTGGGATGGTGAGAGGTATCGGTTACAGCTCATTAACTCATTAACAGCTCCAACTAACAACACACAACCCGATGATTCTCTCCACAAAGTGTTGCATATTAAGCTTGTAGCCACTGTTAGCTCTGCACAACCACGGCACCAGGGAGGGGAGCAGAAGAAACAAGAAGCTGGATCCCAGCACACCAGGACAGGTACGGCCAGAACCAGAGGCCAACATCACCCTCGCAGGACCTGCCTGCAGCAGAAACACCTGCCCCATGGGCACCTTGTCTCAAGGGCTTTCTTCTTCCCCTGTAAATGTTGTAAACCTTGTCGTTCTGACCTTTAGTGTCTATATATACCTATACACACACGTATCTGAGAACTGATACAATTATTATATCTCCCACGTGTTCCAATTTACTTTTGCATTTTCTTCCTCTGGAGCTTGGATGACTCACCTTGTAAATCGGTTCCTGCAAGGTGGAGTAAATTGTATAACGTTAAAGACCTTTGTACAGGGGGTCACTTAATGTATGCAAAAATAAGAAAACTGATAATCTCCTTAGAATCAGGGGCAATTTGTCCACCAACTCAAATATGAGTCAAACAAGACAGTGGGGCCTTAATGGCTTTTTGGTGATTTTGTGCTATTCCCTAGATTTTTTTTCAGTGAGGGGCCAGGCCACCTTATAATGACTATAAATCTAGTGACAGTAAGTTTGCTTTTCTGCTTCTCTCTCATGAGCTCCTTAAAAATGGCCTGCAGGTGGTCCAGGGTTTGCTCACCACATCACACTTTAAAAAAAAAACACTCCTGTGTCTGCACAGGAGCACCCACCCAGTGAAAATGGGAATATTGGAGGTCCTATGGACACAGCAGGCAGAGAGGCTGCGGGGACGCATTGCCAGGACTCACTCAGTGACCTACAGGATCATAGAATCATAGAATGGTTTGGGTGGGAAGGGACCTTAAAGATCACCTTGATCCAACCCCATGCTGTGGGCAGGGACACCTCCCACCAGACCAGGTTGCTCCAAGCCCCATCCAGCCTGGCCTTGAACCCCTCCAGGGATGGGGCAGCCACAGCTTCTCTGGGCAACCTGGGCCAGGCTCTCACCACCCTCACAGCAAAGAATTTCTTTCTGGTGTGTAATCTAAATCTCCCCTTTTTCAGTTTAAAACCATTACCCCTCGTCCTGTCACTGCACTCCCTGACAAAGAGTCCCTCCCCAGCTCTCCTGTTTCCCCCTTCAGGTACTAGAAGGTTGCTGTAAGGTCTCCCTGGAGCCTTCTCTTCTCCAGGCTGAACAACCCCAGCTCTCTCAGCCTGTCCTCACAGCAGAGGTGCTCCAGCCCTTTGAGCATCTTTGTGGCCCTCGGCTGGACCCGTTCCAACAGGTCCATGTCCTTCCTGTGCTGAGGACTCCAGAGCTGGACACAGTGCTCCAGGTGGGGTCTCACCAGAGGGGTAGAATCACCTCCTTCGAACTGCTGGCCACGCTTCTTTTGATGCAGCCCAGGATGTGGCTAGCTTGGATGGTGTGGTGGCCCAGGATGCCCTAGTCAAACACGCCTCAGGCATGTCAGGTCTGTACCTGAATAAACCCCGCGATGACTGACCCGGTCAGCGTGAAACAGAGCCAACGTCACCAAAAGAAAAAGAACAATAACTAGTTAAACTTCTTAAGAGTAGAGCTACCGTTTCTTTTATGGTCCTGTGCAAATCATTTTACTACAGTGGAGTACTGCTCATTAAAACAGCGAATGGAAAAATATGAGTCACTTCTCCATCACATTGGTTTCCTACTTCCCCCCCGGTTGTCAACATTTTGGGAAATGAAAGTTCAAAATGGTTTCCCTTGTCAGTGTGTCAGCTGTTCAAGTGGAAGGAACTGTGAATTGAGATAGAAATTATACACTGCAGGGACACTGAATTCTCCAAAAAATCTTTCAGCAGCACATCAGGGGCCATTTTATCACTGAAACCAAGACAAAGGTTTTATGGCTCTGGTCAAAGCTCCCTTCCCTCCCTGGCTTACGCAGTGACTCAGATGGCGAGATAAGATGGTGGGAGAACTGAATGAAGACAGAGATCCAAAGGCTGTACATGAAATCAGAATTTTTTTATTAACTACAGTCTAGGAGATAAGACATATGCTGATGCATAAACAAATGGTCTTCATGATATGTTTGATGATCCTGGCTTGTATCAGAAACAGTGTGGCCACCAGAAGTAGGGAGGTGATTGTCTCCCTGTGCTCAGCACTGGGGAGGCTACACCTGGAGTGTTGTGTCCAGTTTTGGGCACCTCAATCCAACAGAGACATGGAGGTGCTGGAGCGAGTGCAGAGGAGGGCAACGGAGCTGGTGAAGGGCCTGGAGAAGAAATCTTATGAAGAGCGATTGAAGGAGCTGGGACTGTTTAGTTTGAGGAAGAGGAGGCTGAGGGGAGACCTCATCACTCTCTACAACTACTTGAAAGGCTGTTGTAGAGAGGTTGGTGCTGGTCTCTTCTCCCAGGTAATTAGCCATAGAACAAGAGGGAATGGCTTCAAGCTGCAACAGGGCAGGTTTAGAGTGGCCATTAGGAAACAATTCTTCCCAGCAAGAGTGGTCAGAGACTGGAATAGGCTGCCCAGGGAGGGGGTTGAGTCACCATCCCTGGATGTGTTTAAGAGCTGTTTAGATGTGGTGTTGGGGGATATGGTGTAGGAGAGAACTTTGCAGAGTGGGGTTGAGGGTTGGACTGGATGATCCCAAGGGTCTTTTCCAACCTGAACGATTCTATGATTCTATAGACTGTCACCTTTGGGACTTCAACAAATTGCACGGAGGACCGACCGAAGCGATTTAGCGGTCAAAGCAGCACACATGCTTCTAGCCGAGGTGATGAGGTGCGTGTGACAACAGGAGATGGCAGAAGTCATTAACCCTGTGCCCCCCCTTGTTGGGCCATGGGTTCCCCGGGAGGCCTTATCCCGCCCCGCCGGGCCCGGCCCCGGCCCCGCTCCCTCAGACGGGGGCGCTGCGCGTGCGACCTCAATCCAACAGAGACATGGAGGTGCTGGAGCGAGTGCAGAGGAGGGCAACGGAGCTGGTGAAGGGCCTGGAGAAGAAATCTTATGAAGAGCGATTGAAGGAGCTGGGACTGTTTAGTTTGAGGAAGAGGAGGCTGAGGGGAGACCTCATCACTCTCTACAACTACTTGAAAGGCTGTTGTAGAGAGGTTGGTGCTGGTCTCTTCTCCCAGGTAATTAGCCATAGAACAAGAGGGAATGGCTTCAAGCTGCAACAGGGCAGGTTTAGAGTGGCCATTAGGAAACAATTCTTCCCAGCAAGAGTGGTCAGAGACTGGAATAGGCTGCCCAGGGAGGGGGTTGAGTCACCATCCCTGGATGTGTTTAAGAGCTGTTTAGATGTGGTGTTGGGGGATATGGTGTAGGAGAGAACTTTGCAGAGTGGGGTTGAGGGTTGGACTGGATGATCCCAAGGGTCTTTTCCAACCTGAACGATTCTATGATTCTATAGACTGTCACCTTTGGGACTTCAACAAATTGCACGGAGGACCGACCGAAGCGATTTAGCGGTCAAAGCAGCACACATGCTTCTAGCCGAGGTGATGAGGTGCGTGTGACAACAGGAGATGGCAGAAGTCATTAAACCTGTGCACCCCCTTGTTGGGCCATGGGTTCCCCGGGAGGCCTTATCCCGCCCCGCCGGGCCCGGCCCCGGCCCCGCTCCCTCAGACGGGGGCGCTGCGCGTGCGCGGACGCCGCCGCGTGACCCCGCCACCCCTGGGAGCGCGGGCCACAAGATGGCGGCGCTCTTGGCGCTCCTCTGCCGGGGCGCCCCCAGCCTCCGCGCTGCCCGCCTGCCCCTCGCCGCTGCTACCACCACCGCCGCCGCCACCCTCCCGCCGCTGCGCCGTCCCTCCGCGCCGCTGGGATCCCCGAGGCCGCTCAGCTTTTCGGCGGCCGAGCTGGTGCGCGCCGCGCCGGGCCCGCTGCGGCCTTACCTGCGCCTCATGCGACTGCATCAGCCCGCCGGTGAGCGGGGCGGGGCGGGGCGGAGGGGGGTGCCGTAGCCATGGCGACGCGGCCGCCATGATGAGGCGGTATCCATGGTGATAGGGCCGCCATGGCGAGGCCTAGCGCTGCGGGCCGCGGGTGATGCCGGCCCCGAGGGGCGGGCGGGAGCGGGGGTGCGGTGCAGCCGGTGGCTGTAGCCACCCCTCCCCGGCCACAGGCGGCCTTGCTCTGGGCAGAGGGTTTTTGCCGACGAAGCGCCTGCCGGCTCGGCCATGCCATTACTCGGCAGCCAGCAGGTTTTATGTAGTTTATAAATGGTTAAACTTCAGAGAAGAAATAAAGCTATTTTAGTAACTATTCCAAATGGTTTCAAGGACTTGTAAGATAAGAAAGGATGTCTGTGGCCCTAGGAACGTGGTGACCTAAGACAGGGGTGCAATAAATGTGGATATTGTCTGGCAAACAGGTGGTAGGAGAGAGATCATTAGTTTTAATGAGCAATTAAGCAGTTGGAATGTTTTGCCAATGTGAGAAACACCGACTCACATCTTAAAATTTAAAGAGGACAAAGTCACCGAAGCAAAGGTTAAAAAAATAATTTATTAATACAAAACAGGGCTGAATTCGGGTGCACCAAAAATAGACGCACGATGATCTTTTAGCTTTCAGGTATTTTATACCCTTATCCCAGCTGCTTGAGTTTCTGTCTCCCTTCTCATTGGCTGAGAAGTTGGAGCTCACATTCTTTGGTTGCTTGATAGTCGCTTGATAATAGTCACTTGACCTATTACAGGTTTATTTTGCACTTTTTTTTCCATATAAGGCACAGATACACCTATGCTATGAAATCATTATCCTAAACACGCCTTTGATTAGTTGATGATGCTACACGTTATTTCAGAGTCTTTGCTACCATCTCTTTGACAGATTTACCAGACTGGTTTCTTTGGCCTTATTGATACTCCCCTACGCTCTGGGTTGCTTTGTTGAAGGCTGTGTTCCAGTCTGTTTCTCTTCCCCTAGATAATGCTCTGCAAACAAGGATCCCTTGACAGAGCAGGGGCATTTCTGGGGATTAATTGGATACAATTTATTAGACTCTACTACTACTAAGGCTTCTTTGTTAGTGCTATCACACTAACAATGATACATCAATTAGCTGAAGCAAAACTTAGCTCATTTCCCACATTGCCAACATGAAAAGTGAGCCAAAGGACAGGTGAAGAAGATGAAGATTGAAGAAGAAACAACTCTCACTCAAAATGAGGACCACAAGAAGGCGCAACTAGGCATGCCCAAAAGCTTATAGAATCATAGAATGGTTAGAGTTGGAAGGGACCTCAAAGATCATTGAGTCCCAACCCCCCTGCCCTGGGCAGGGACACCTCCCACCAGACCAGGTTGCTCCAAGCCCCATCCAGCCTGGCCTTGAACCCCTCCAGGGACAGGGCAGCCACAGCTTCTCTGGGCAACCTTGGGCCAGTGTCTCACCACCCTCACAGCAAAGAATTTCTTTCTGGTATCTCATCTAAATCTCCCCTCTTCCAATTTAAAACCGTTCCCCCTCGTCCTGTCACTGCACTCCCTGACAAAGAGTCCCTCCCCAGCTCTCCTGTAGCTCCCTTCAGATATTGGAAGGCTGCTCTAAGGTCTCCCCGGAGCCTTCTCCAGGGGTATATATAATATATGCACATTATAATATGTAAATGAATTCTCAGAAAGGTAATGAATATACTAACGTTTTCTTGGAATTACATTGAATATGTATCCCTGTTGTGTATGAATTTAATTTGAATACAGCATTCGGTGCGCACAGTATGAGGAACTATCCACTGTGCGCCCAGCGCTGCAATAAGGAACTCCTGCTTTATGAACTTTACAATTTGTGTCCCCCCAGGGACGTGGCTGCTGTACCTGCCCTGCACCTGGAGCATCGGCTTGGCGGCCGAGCCGGGCTGCCTCCCTGACTGGCACATGCTGTCCCTCTTCGGCGTGGGAGCGGTGCTCATGCGCGGAGCCGGCTGCACCATCAACGACATGTGGGATCGTGACTACGACAAAAAGGTTGAGAAACCCCCCTGGCCTTGCAAAGACCTAGGGAAGTGAATTGCTGGTTAATTAACCTAAGTACGTGTCCGCTCATCTCCAGCATCACAAACTCCCTTGCTGAGTGCAGACATAGGGCTCCAGGTTCAGAAATTCCTCTTTGTTTCTGTCTGAGATGCATTTGACTAATTTGCCTACGTTTCCTCCTAGAATAGTAGAAATCATTTTTGTTTGTATAACATTTCTCTGTCTGGGACTATAATAAGTCCTCTAGAGTACTTCCCTCTGTGTAAGATAAAATACATGTTGTCAGCTGCAGGTGATAACACAGAATCAGAGAATTGTCACAATTGGAAGGGACCTCTAGGGATCATCCAGTCCAACTCCCCTGCCAAAGCAGGGCTGCCCAGAGCACATCACTCAGGAGCATCCAGGTGGGGCTTGAAGATCTCCAGAGAAGGGGACTCCACACCCTCCCTGGGCAGCCTCTGCCAGGGCTCTGCCACCCTCACCCCAAAGAAGTTCTTCCTCACATTGGAGTGGAACTTCCCATGGTCCAGCTTGTGCCCGTTGCCCCTCGTCCTGTCACTGGGAACCACTGAAAAGAGTCCGGCTCCATCCTCCTTCAACCAACCCTTTAGGAACTTGGAAACATAGATGAGGTCTCCCCTCAGCCTTCTCTTCTCCGGGCTGAAGAGTCCCAGCTCTCTCAGCCTTTCCTCATCAGGGAGATGCTCAAATCCCTCCATCATCTCTGTTGCCCTACGCTGGACTCTCTCCAGCAGTTCCCTGTCTCTCTTGAACTGGGGAGCCCAGAACTGGACACAGGATTCCAGTTGTGGCCTCCCCAGTGCAGAGCAGAGGGGGAGAATGACCTCCCTCCACCTCCTGGCCTCACTCTTCCCTACGCAGCCCAGAATCCATCCCATTGGCCTCTTGGCAACAAGGGCCCATTGCTGGCTCATGGAGAGTTTACTGTCCACCAGGACCCCCAGATCCTTCTCCTCAGAAGTGCTTTCCAGCAGGTCCACCCCCAACCTATACTGGTGCCTGGGGTTCTTCCTCCCCAGGTGCAGGACCCTACACTTGCCCTTGATGAACCTCCTGAGGTTTTTCTCTGCCCGTCTCTCCAGCCTGTCCAGGTCACCCTGGGTGGCAGCAGAGTCCTCTGGAGTGTCAGCCAGTCCCCCCAGTTGGTATCATCAGCGATCTTGCTGAGGATACACTCTGTACTTGAACAAGTTTCAGCTTTGTTTTGGATGACAGAACAAAATAAATAACAGCTTTGCTACACTTGCTAATTATGATCTACCCAAGAACAACATTTTTATTTTTTTTTTTCAATTTTCAGTAGCAGGGTTTCCTTGAGTATTACTAATTTCTTCATGAGAATGGCTGTTAGGAGCGTCGTGCCCAACCCTGAGCCTAATCCTCTTCCATTATGTTGTATTTTTCACCTCTCTTTTGTTCAGAAGAGGGAAATGAGCAAAAGGCAGTGCCCAGTGTCAGATGTCGAAATGTCCGCAGGTGCAGGCTTGGAGGGGAGTATCCTGGTGATGCCTCACCGTTTGCTTGTCCTGTTTTCTGTTCCTTATATTGTTCCTCTGGTTTGGGGTTTTGGGTTGCAGCGCTGGCAAGAGACAGGATAATGAGCCAATCTGGTGTCTCAAGTTCTTCTTACAGCACTGTTGTGTTTGTGCTGTTGGGAAGGCAATGAATCAGCACAGCTTTTTGTGACAGCTTTGGATGGTTTAGGGTTTGGAGGGTATGAACAACTACGTACACTAAAAATATTTGACAGGGTCGGGGGTGTGATTAGTAGGATGGGATTTTTAATATAATGAATTCATTTATGCATGTCGTGGTTAGATGTAGAGTTTTAAAAATTCCTATCACAGCTCTTTCTTACACACCTTAAAAAGATATCTTCAGAACAAGTGTGATAGTGGCCCGGTCAATAGCAGGATGTGGGCTTGTGTTGGTGATGGTGTTGATTTTAGATGTTACTGATTTCTTGGTAAATGTTTTCTTTTCTTTAAATGAAACAGCCCGTGCTTGGTTACGATATGCAGTGGAATTGGTCATAAGTATTTCAAGTACATGTTTAAACTGCAAAAGCAGTGTTGGACATTTAATATAACCTGATTGAAGGGGGGAGAACAAACTAAAAAGGTCTATTTAAATACACATTATTAAAGTATATGCAGAACACTGTATACATACATAATAGTGTGTAAAAAGTTGGCTTTTGAACCTCTTCAAATAGAATTTATACTATTTTCATCAAAATGCAAAACTTTTGTTTTTTTTTTTTCTTTTGACAATGGCCAGCTTTTGCAAGTACCTCACCATTTAACTTTTTTCTGATATTTGTTTCTTCTTTCAGTTTGCCTCTTATGATTTCTTGTTCCAGACAGAGTTTCTAAACTCCATTGTATCCCGACTAGAATTAAATTAATTGTCCTTTCACAGTTATTAACAATGGTTATGAGTGCTAGAGGAGCCCTGCATCTTTAGGATATTTTACATGGTAATAACTTTAAAGCATTTAATCACACAAATGCTGCTTGAAATTGGGATGATTAGCTGATAACTGACTTTAAGTCTGACTTTTTTTTTTTCCTAAGGTAATAAAATTCATATACAAGATGCCTATAGTGTTTCTAATCAGCCTCCTTGCACACAAGTGGCACTTTATTTCTGCTCTAGTTTTTAAAGCCTGCATGCTTCTATTCTAAGTGCTGCTGCTTAGAAGTACAGCTCGTGTCTGTGATGATATGCTAGGTTTGTATTGTTGAAGGAACCTCATCTTGTAACATTCTGTGACCTGTTTCTGTTTGTTTTTCCTCTTATGGTGTGACTTCTAGTTTTAAGATGCATTGGAATGTATTATGTTGGATTTGGTATTAACTTTATTGTTTCCATTTGTAGGTTGCGAGGACAGCAAGTAGGCCCCTGGCAGCTGGAGATATCTCCCCTTTTCAGTCCCTCGTTTTTCTTGGGGGACAGCTTAGCTTGGCACTTTGTGTGCTTCTGTGCCTGAATTACTACAGGTGACGTATAAGTTATCTCTTGGTTTTTAAAGTTTGATTCCGGGTCCAGAGTTAAGCACAAGAGATTTTCAGCAGAAAAGGTGTTGGGGGGCAGAGGGAGGAGCTTATCAGTTGTGGAATTGTGTTTGAAGGCAAAAGAACTAGTTCAGTACTGTGTACAGTTCAGCTCCTGTAAAACTGCACTGTATCTTGTGATCTTTAGACTGGCAAACAATGCACCTCTTGGTACTTTTTACAGTATTATTCTGGGAGCAGCCTCTTTGTCTCTTGTGATCACCTACCCCCTGATGAAGAGAGTAACATATTGGCCACAGTTAGTTTTGGGTGAGCTGGAAATATTTTTTACAATTTTTTTTCTTCAGATGTAGTTTTTGGGCTGTTTTACAAATTAGTAATTGAACTTCAGCAGTCTGATTTTTTTATAACTTTATATTAAAATAAAAATACCTTATAGACAAAGTTCTGTTGTGCCAGAAACTTCTTAAACAATTTGTAACCCATATGAGAGTTGATGTTTGGGTTTAGGATTTTTTTTTGTTAGAAATCAGCTTTAAGAATCAGCTTTAGTTTCAGGGTTATCTCAAAATGCACTTAAACATGCATCTGTCCTGCATTTCAGTCTTCAGCCTCTAAAATAACTCTTGTGAGGAAACTGATGGTGTTAGTATTTCAAGTTGAGCTACTAAAACGCGTCTTGGCCTTCACATTCCAGCTGCCTTCAGCTTTTTCAATCAAAATTGTCATTTTCAGCTTTGAAGTACCATAGTTGGCTGCTGTGCCCTCTTTTGCCATCAGTTATACTGACATCTAAGATTTTTATGTTTCATCCCGTTGTTTGAGGACACTGGAATAGTTCTGTGCAATTGTTTCCCTGTGCCAACAAAGTCGAATTTAAACTGGGGACAAACGTGTGGCTATACATATTTCTCTTTGTATGTCCAAAGTATTTAATGTCAAATTACTTGTATATATTAGCTGCCTGAAAATAAGTGGTAGAAAAATAGAGATGCCAGTATTGTACAAAAAGCTGCTAATATGATATACACTTGAACAAATAATATTTGATTCTATACATGTAATTTAGATCGCTCCTGTAAATCTTTTAACTTTTTTCTTCTTTTTTTTTTTTTAAATTTTCTTTTATGTTTTTAGGGCTTACATTTAATTGGGGAGCCCTTCTTGGCTGGTCTGCCATCAAAGGGTCGTGTGAGTGGTCTGTGTGTTTGCCCTTGTACTTTGCTGGAGTAATGTGGACTCTGGTATACGATACCATTTATGCACATCAGGTAGAGTAACATTGGGAAATTTTAGATATCTGTATATGTTTGTGTGTTTAATTTATAACTTTGTTGTTATAAATTAGCAGTACTAACCTGTTGCAGTTCTTCACCCTCAGCTGAGCTAAAACAGCATCAAAGGAAACCCAGCCTTTGCACCTTTTATTGCCATTTGCAAATGTGTTACATATCAGGTAGAAAGCTGGAAGTATAATGCCCTTTGTGTGCTCACACATTTGCATTGTGTAAATAAATTTTACGTGGGTGTTACCTCTTGGCTGCTAAAGCAGCTCTAAGGACCAAATTTCAAGTGCACTTAAATTGGGTTCCTAATCAGAAGTGCTGGAAACATAAGCAAGGCTCCCCCTTCTTATCTTGCTGATGAAGTGGCAGTTGAATTGTAGACTTCTTGCTAATTGATCCTTCCGTTCTAGGATAAGAAGGATGACATCATCATCGGTGTGAAGTCAACGGCGTTACAGTTCAAGGAGGACACGAAGCAGTGGCTCAGTGGCTTCAGCCTTGCAATGCTCCTCAGTTTGTGCGTGGCAGGGATGAACTGTCACCAGACCTTCCCATATTACTCAGCCGTGGCTGCCGTAGGGGCTCACCTAGCACACCAGGTTTGATGGATTTATTTATACTTTTTACACCTGGCAAATGCTTGGTAAGAAATCAGAGTGCTTTTCACAGAATCACAGAATCTTCTAGGTTGGAAGGGACCTTAAAGATCATCTTGTCCAACCGTCAACCTAACTGACAAAAATAGTCACCCACACAACAAACAAGGAGCATCATCACTAAACCATACCTCCCAGCACTACATCAACCCGTCTTTTGAACACCTCCAGGGATGGGGCCTCAACCACCTCCCTGGGCAGCCCATTCCAAGGGCTGAGAACCCTTTCAGTGAAAAAATTTTTCCTAATATCCAGCCTGAACCTCCCCTGGGGCAACTTGAGGCCATTTCCTCTTGTCCTGTCGCCTGTGACTTGAGAGAAGAGACCGACCCCCACCTCTCTACACCCTCCTTTCAGGGAGTTGTAGAGAGCAATAAGGTCTCCCCTCAGCCTCCTCTTCTCCAGGCTGAACACCCCCAGCTCCCTCAGCCTCTCCTCATAAGACTTATTCTCCAGACCCCTCACCATCTTTGTCGCCCTTCTCTGGACCCGCTCCAGCACCTCAATGTCTTTTTTATGGTAGGGGGCCCAAAACTGGACACAGTACTCAAGGTTTCAACCCCCAATTTGCCAACTACCTAAAAGAAAGCAGCTCCTGTAAAGAGAATTCAAGAAGTTGACTGATAGAATAACATCTTTTATGTTGAAGGAGGAGCTGCTGCCCAAGCATTCACACACCATTCGTGGTGTCGCACACTAGCGCACACAAACACTTATTCTTGACTGCGTTTCCTTCAGGATTGACCCTAGGTTTCCCTCAGCAGTCTCAGGCATCAGGTTTTATTAAATAATTAATTAAATTGAAAGGTACACCAGCAAGGACAGCCCGGGCTGGGTGCTTCCAAAGAGGGGACCCCAAACAAAGAAATCTCCGGGCAATTATAGATCACCCGTGTGGTCTGTACATCTTCTACTCACATGCCTCTTTTAGTCCACTTGGTGATTTTTGGTCTGGGGTCTTCTGGACATCTTCACAGAATCACAGAATCTTCTAGGTTGGAAGGAACCTTAAAGATCATCTTGTCCAACCGTCAACCCAACTGACAAAAATAGACACCCACACAATAAACAAGGAGCATCATCACTAAACCAGACCTCCCAGCACTACATCAACCCGTCTTTTGAACACCTCCAGGGATGGGGCCTCAACCACCTCCCTGGGCAGCCCATTCCAATGGCTGAGAACCCTTTCAGTGAAAAAATTTTTCCTAATATCCAGCCTGAACCTCCCCTGGGGCAACTTGAGGCCATTTCCTCTTGTCCTGTCGCCTGTGACTTGAGAAAAATCTTACTGGATTCTTTTTCTGTGTCCAGGCAGGCAGGCTTTTTTACCTTGTTGATTTGCAGTTTCAGCTGAGGGTTGGAGCCTCCTCAGATTCTGGTTTATATTCCTTGTGCACTCCCTGGCAGAATGTGGAGAACTGGAGAGTCCCAGACTTGGGAAAAAAACACTACCAAAACATCAGTGTGATATCAACATCTTTATCATACTAAAAAACTAAACACATCACTGTACCAGCTGCTAGGAAAATTACTAAGAAAAATAACTCTATCACAGCCTACAGGCTTCAGCAAGTCTAGCTACTCATGCTAAGTAAAACTAGGCAAACAGCACAAATCACACCATATCATAATCCTAAGTAATTTGTTGTAATTAAAGCTTAACTTATTTATGCTAAACTGATATCTCTCAATATTTTATTTGCTTTGCATTTCTGAAGGTGTATCTTGTGGTTTGGCTGCTGTTGGGTGTGATTAGTCAGTTCAGTATTTTCAGTTCGCTGTTCTGGAGGGGCTGACAGGTTTTCGAGGGTGTGGATAATGTCACGGCTTAGAAATTGTCTCAGAAGCTTGTGGACACAGTTTCAGGTTATTTGATCAGTACCCAGCCCTGTTTGATTAGAACCTGTTGCCTCTGCACCACTGCCAATGGTAGATGAACTGGTTTCCTGGGGAAAGGTTTCACTTCCTTTAGTTGGATACGTTCTGTTTTGATTTCTTCAGAGGATGAATTGTAAGGTTTGAGGTTTTGGGGGCTACTTTTCTATTAATCCTTTCACTTGTTTTTCTTGTCGTCCTTCTCAAGACTTTTGCACAAAGTTTTGTTTCGGAGACGACTATTTTTCAGTGACTTTGCTCTTGCTGCACTGTGTGATATATTTTTTTTCACCTCTAGCTGTGACCCACAGCAGACAGCCGCCAAGCTGATCAAGCCTTGCTTCTTGCTGTTGTTGCAGGTGTCCTGGGTCTTTTTTTTTTTTGCAAAAGAGTTGAGCAGACAGAGCTAAGAGTGACTGGACTAAACCAGCCCTGTGTGACTCGGCAGGGCCAGGCACTTTCCTGTGCATTCCAGTTAGCCTGGTTCACTTGCAGCAGAGATTTAAAGTGCAGGCAGGTTTGGGGGGTGGTATTTTTATTTAAAAGTTCCCATTGAAGAATTAGCTGGCTACCTGCTGAGGTATATCTCAAAAAGACTTATTTACCTGCCCAGATATTTTTAAATATCAAACCAGATACACCAGTATCCAGGCTGTTCATTGAGAGGGTCTGAGAATCGTGTTCATGTGTGATCCTTGACTTTTCTACTGTAAGTTGAATAAATCTGTCAAGTCAACATAGATTCCAGTTATGCAAAAAGTCCTTTGCAAGCACAGAATATTCCTGTTTATTATGGAGGTAAGGATAGACTTCAGAATTTGAGATTCAGTTTTGGAAGTTACAGACCTTTTTGTGTCTTTTTTGTAATGTGTCAAATATTTATGAGTCTGTAGATAATAATGCCAGAATGTTCCACTGTGCTTTTGCAGATTTACACTTTGGACATAGACAAACCTGAAGACTGTTGGAAGAAATTTGCTTCAAATCGTACTGTAGGAGTTCTGCTCTTCACAGGGATTGTGCTTGGAAATCTGTGGAAACAAAAAGACTCAAAAAATGCAGAAGAACCTTTAGAAAACAGATAGCTGAAATTACTATAAATACTGATATTTTAGTCCAGCTAAAATGTAAATGTAAGTACTGTAAGAAGGAGAAAAAAAAATTAACTCTAGCTGCTTTATACACTTTATTTATAATACCTGATGAAAACATTTTTGTTTATAAAACCATGCAAATAAGATCATCCTACAATATAAATTCTGATTATCCTTAAATTACTTCAGCCCCCACAGAAGTTTCAACAAGTGAAGCTGCTCTGCTGGTCCCATGTAGTACAAGCAAACTTTGGTCAAGCTCTCAAAACTCTGAGCCCAAGATTTTATACGAAATAAATGTCTCTTAGCGACAGCACGTGGGAACATGCAAAAGAATTTCAAGATGTAAATAAAATCTGGCTGTACATGTTCAGTGTTCTGATTTAATGCATGAATAATTTTCAGTTTCAGTTGGAGCTTGATGCGTGAAGGAATTGCAATGACATTTTTTTATCCTGAGAAGTCTAGAGGCAGTCAGGACTCTTGAGTGTGTGAGGTCCATAATAATAAATCAATAGAGAAGTATTTAAAATTACCTTTTGCTCTTGTTGTGATTGCTGGCAGTGGTTCCTTTTCACCTGAAAAGAACAGGCTTCTTCAAAGTTGCCTGCAGAGAGTGAGCCGAGCTCATTTAACCAAGAATGATTTGAACACAGACTTCAAACAGCAGAGCAGCCCAGAGCTATTGCCAAGTGTGTGTGACTGGTGGTTGACCCTGAGCTATAATTCATCGTGGCAGGTGATCCTTGTTTCTTTCATTTTTATTTTTTAATTCTATTCCTTTTGGTTTTTACAGGAAGAACTTGTTTATAGGAGGATGCCTATAAACAACAAAACCAGCAACTGCAGGCTAACAATTACATTGCTTCAAACCCTTGATGTTTTCAACTGGCTTTATGCTCTCAGTTAGGTGATTTGCACTGTAGTTAACGTTTTCTTTGGCTCATAGTGTTAAAAAGCTTGTATGGCATGTTCTGGAATTAATTTCTGTGAAGGAATAATGGACATGCCAGTTCTAGGAAAATGAGAGGTGATTTCCACTGGTGGCTTTGTGTACACCTCCACGCGGGGCTGTGGTTCAGCGTTGCAAAATGTTTGGTTGCCAAACTCATTTTTGGTATTCAAGGACCTTTCTTGATGTCTGCTCTGCTCCCTTAATAGCGGGGCACAACGGTGTGCAGTCCCACCAAAAAAATAAGGCTGCATCTTGCTCTAGTTCTGAAGACGGGTTTCATATTTTAAGGTTATTTAAACCTTAAAGGTGTGTTTGAGAGACATTGCAGCCCAGAGCCACGCGTTCAGGGGTTGCTAACTGTGGTTTTGCATTACTGCTGATAGTGAACAGGTGAAGAAGTTCCTGTTGCAGGGAAAGGAGAAAGCATATAATGAGTCAAAGGCTTTGGTGGCACGAGATTGGCTTTGGGACTGGAACAGACTTCTGTGGGTTCTGAACACTTCTTTTTAATATACACCCTCTAAAGTTGTTGTTTTGGTTTTTTTTACTATCTAAAGAAGTGATGTTAAATATTTTTTTGAGCAAATTTTTCTGCCTGACTGCATGTAAGATAGAAATATGTTAAAACATTAGGAAGTGTAACTGCTTTTAGGGCCTCCTTGGTTCTTGCACAGAAGTTGTTCTTAAATGGGGTGTATAATTTTGGGGTTGAGGAAGTATTAAGTTGAAGAAAAGCAGTTTAAAAATTAAGAATAATAAATCTCTGAACAATTACTTGACAAAGTTGCATTTTGTAGAAGGAGAATTGGATGCATCCAACTTCATGTTGAACTTTGGTTGTACGGCATTTACTAGTAATAAAAAAGTCTTGTCACATAATTAGTGTGGATCAGTTTCTTAATACTTGTAGTGCTACCTTAGAGAGGTTGTGGCAGAAGTTGTTAATCCGTTTTTAACATATTAAAGCATCTTTAAGTAGCTTAGATTTGGGAAGAGCTCACATTTTGTGGTGCCTTTGAACCTACTGGCATCCTTTGTCCAGTGAGAGCTTATCACATGCGTTTGTCTTGTAATGGGAGGAAGAAGGAGGTGTAGCTAAATAGAGTCAAAATTCAAGTTTCAAAGCAGTCCTTGTGTCCTAAACTTGAAAATCATCGCATGTTTTCTGTGGGGTTTTCCAGTTTCCTCTCCAAACGTGTTTTACAAAGATGTGTCATAGCTGTCAAATGCAAAAGACAAAAGGCTAAACTACTTCCTGGCTAAAATCCTGTTCATATCTGCTGGCAGGTACATGAGCATATCTTCTCCTTCCATTCCTGAGCTATTCTCTTCCAAATCTTAACAAAGACACTCACAGCTGATTTAGATGGAGTCTGTTAAAAAAATCTCAAACACACCCATCTCTGAGCAGCACCTTCATGATTAGCTAGTGTGCTTTTGCACAAACAGTTTCCTCTGGAAGTCTCTCCTCCCCTGTCAAATGTTGCTTTTCTCCTCCCCTTCCTTTTCCAAATGTTCCTCCACAGGATGCTGAGATAACAAACGCTTTTGGAGGCAGGAGGAAGGTCAAACGTGGCAGTTGATCAGCAAAATGGTCTGTAACCAACAAAAACGTTTGCCTTTGTGCACTCCCGTGGTACTTTGTGGAAAGGTGTCTCCAAGCAACCCCAGCTCTTTGTCCAGGAGTAGCCGTATGTACCCAGGGGTGTTCGTTCCTGTGGGGATACAGGGAGGGGGTGCCAAAGCTTTTGTGGAGGGGCTGGATCTTTGGGTCAGAAGCCTGACGGGGACAGTGGTACATGGGAGCTTTCACACTCAGCTTTGCCAAGGGAAGGGACTCACCGTAAGGTCATTCAAGGTGAATTGGGCCTACATTTTGCTGTCTGTGTATTCCTCAGTAAATACAGAATTGTCACTGTTGGAAAAGATCTCTGAGATCACCAAGTCCAACCACACACACACACAAAAATCCCCCACAATCTCGGGCGCTAGAGCATGCCCTCAAGTGCCACGGCTACACATTTCTGAAATCCCTCCAGGGATGGTGACTCCACCACCTCCCTGGGCAGGCCCTTCCAGTGCCTGACCACCCTCTCAGCAAAGTCATTCTTCCTCAGATCTCATCTAAACCTCCCCTGCCCCAACTTCAGACCATTTCCTCTGCTCCTCTCATGATTCCCTTGGGAGAAGAGGCCAACCCCCACCTCTCTACCCCCTCCTTTCAGGGAGCTGGAGAGGGCAAGGAGGTCTCCCCTCAGCCTCCTCTTCTCCAAACTCAACATGCCCACTTCCCTCAGCCTCTCCTCGTAGGACTTGTTCTCCAGACCCCTCCCCAGCTTGGTGGCTCTCCTCTGGACACGTTCCAGCCCCTCAATGTCCTTCTTGTGGTGAGGGGTATGTAATGGTACATACAGTGTCATTAATGCAAGGGTGGGGGGGGGGTATATTTTTCCCTCCCTCTACTTTCAGGAAAGTATGTGCTGCAGGCACCTACCTGAGGAACTGTGGTGTGCAAACCCCATGGACCAGAAGAGGACATGGGACAGGAAGGCAGTCTGGCCGCAGGGTGTCCCCAGGTCTGTAGGTCAGGCGTAGCACCAGCCACGGGTGGCTTAACGTAGGGACAAAACAATGGCTCTACCCAAAGTAGGAAAGGTGTGTCAGCGTGTGGAAAGATCGCGGCATCCTGTGGGCTGAAGTGACGAAAAAGCTGAAAATTAAGGTAACCCATCACGTGTACCAGCACGGCGTGGTGGTTAGCCACTCTTCATGGAAGACACAAAAAGCACAACCCTTGGGTTGAAGCTCTGGTGTGCTAAAGAGGAGGAGAAGGTATTTTGCAGCGAAAGGGCCATTAGCTTGTTTCTAAAGGCCACCACAGTGCAAATGCCAGGAGAGAAGATTGGCTTAAGCTTCAAAACAAAGCTGACCGGTGTGAGAAACACCGACTCACATCTTAGAATTTAAAGAGGACAAAGTCACCGAAGCAAAGGTTAAAAAAAAATAATAATTTATTAATACGAAACAGGGCTGAATCGGGTGCACCAAAAATAGATGCACGATGATCTTTTATCTTTCAGGTATTTTATACCTTTATCCCGGCCGCTTGAGTCTCTGTCTCCCTTCTCATTGGCTGAGAAGTTGGAGCTCACATTCTTCCCGACCGCTTGACCTATTACAGGTTTATTTTACACTTTTTTTCCCATATAAGGCACACACACACCTATTCTACGAAATCATTATCCTAAACACGCCTTTGATTAGTTGATGATGCTACACGTTATTTCAGAGTCTTTGCTACCATCTACTTGGCAGATTTACCAGACTGGTTTCTTTGGCCTTATTGATACTCCCCTACCCTTTGGGTTTTTGTGTTGAAGGCCGTGTTCCAGTCTGTTTCTCTTCCCCTAGATAACGCTTTGCAAACAAGGATCCCTTGACAGAGCAAGGGCATTTCTGGGGATTAATTGCATACAATTTATTAGACTCTACTATTACTAAGGCTTCTTTGTTAGTACTATCACACTAACAATGATACATCAATAAGCTGAAGCAAAACTTAGCTTATTTCTCACATACCCAAAGACACAGGAAAGGTGTGTCAGCGTGTGGAAAGATCGCGGCATCCTGTGGGCTGAAGTGACGAAAAAGCTGAAAATTAAGGTAACCCATCACGTGTACCAGCACGGCGTGGTGGTTAGCCGCTCTTCAAGGAAGACACGAAAAGCACAACCCTTGGGGTGAAGCTCTGGTGTGCCAAAGAGAAGCAGGAGAAGGTATTTTGCAGGGAAAGGGCCATTAGCTTGTTTCTAAAGGCCACCACAGTGCAAATGCCAGGAGAGAAGATTGGCTTAAGCTTCAAAACAAAGCTGATGGGGGAAAAGAAAGTGGGTGTTAACCAGCCCTGTGAAGTTTGGGTGGTAGCTGAAGGCTCCTGGCAGACTGGAGAGGTGAGCGAGTTTCCTGCAGTGCCTCCCTCTAGTTTGTGACAGAGGCAAAAAAGGAGGGAGCAGATTTTTAACACTGGCCTGTGCTAGATAAACTACCTGAATTACAAAGGACATTGTGAAACACCTCATGGATTTTCCAGCTCTTTTCCTTTTCCCCAGATGGTGGTGTTTAACAAGAACGACCCCCCCCTACCCCCAGCCATGCAGGGCTGTACACAGTGGTTTTGTCTCAGCTAAGCAGCAAGATGTCTGATAAAATTCAAAAACCAAAACAAAACCACCACCACCAACAACAACAACAACAAAAAAACAAAACAGTGTTTAAATGCCGAGTTCAAAACTTTTAAAAATACAGCTTTAGTTTCTGGAAGAATGAGCGGAAATCTCATTCCTAAGGTAAAAAAAAGACCAAACCAAAACCCACCCCTGAGTGTTTACACCAGCAGAACACGGTTCTTCCAAATTGCAGAGCTTCTCGGCTGTGACAGGTGGAGTAACAAGGAGAAATACCTAATATTGTTATAGTTAAAATAAAAAAAAAACCTAAGTCCGAAATAGATTCACTAAATGTTTATTAAGGTAGGAAAGCAAAAGCAGCGCTGGGCGGCCGGGGAGTCGCAGCTCCACCAAGGCTCACAAATTCAGGCCAGCTGAATAGCTCTTTTTATCCTCACAGAGGTCGGGTTTGACACCTTCAGTACACCCCTCTGCTTCTTCCCTTATCTTTACTCCATCTGGTCTGTCTTTCTTCAAGGCGGTTTCAAGACAATGTCGGCTGTAAATTAGTTCATACCCTTCCCCTTCTACCTGATTAATTAGTACAAAGTTAAAACACGGATGACATTGGGGTTAAGCTTATCTTGTCAAAACAGGACATTCTCATGTGGTTTAGCAATATAACATTGTGGACGTCTCTTCTTGTTAGGGAGTTCTCAAGACTGCCACAACGGGCTCGTTCTTCTTGCTTAAATTGTTTGGTCAGTAAATTACAATCCGACTTTAGGCGAGTTTTACAAGTGGTGGTGGCATATTCAGCTTGTGCCATCTCTTGCATGCATTTGGTTAGTACAAGGATAAACATTCACTTACATCGACACATTTTGATAGCATTGCAGTTTGTGTAAGTCAGGACTTTCTTACACTATGTATAACAGAAAAGGATAATCCTAAGATTTGATCAGCAACAAATCTTCAGTTATTCATTACAATATTAAATAGGTTTCTTCAACTGCATAAAGAACAGAACCGAGCCTGTAACAAGCTGTGAGGGGGGAAGCAGCTGCACCCCCATTCCACACTACCTCCTTGTGTGGTGTTTTTTTCCTGGACTGGCATCAAAGTATTTTTTCAGCTCTAAATTTTACCTCCAAGTTAACCCCGCAGGCAACAGATGAGGAGGCTACTTTGAGGAGAAACTTCAACAGTATGAAGTGGCTGCTTGACAGAGCTGTGTGGATTTTTATGCTGGCTGTCGTGCTGCAGCGTGTCTGAGTATCTGTCAAACAGATTTTCCAGCTTCATCTTTGGGGTGAGGGTGGCAGAGCCCTGGCAGAGGCTGCCCAGGGAGGTGGTGGAGTCTCCTTCTCTGGAGACATCCGAACCCACCCAGACACGTTCCTGTGGGACCTGCTCTGGGTGGCCCTGCTTTGGCAGGGGGTTGGACTAGATGATCTCCAGAGGTCCCTTCCAACCCCATATTATCCTGTGATTCTGTGACTAGTTCCTGCATGCCGACCATCAGCCCACAAATTGTGTCTGAGTCAGACAGGGGCTTGGAGGGCTTCTCAACTGGTGGTCAACTACAACTGAAGCACACCAACCTGCGTACGCTTGCTTTCATTCTGGTTTCCTTGACTACTCTCATTGGGAATCATGCAAAGCACAGATGCTGTACGACCAAAAGAAATGTAGGGAGTTTCACGGTGTCAGTATGCCAAAAAATGGAGTCTTAAAAAAAAAGGAAGATTGCCGAAAGCTGGTAAAACCCACTTTAATTAAAATCTTCAAATATACAAGCGTTGGAATTAACAAAAGCTGTAAAAAGAAGCTACTGGGCAAACGATAACTTTGATGTCTTAGTTGTAACTTACATTAATATAATAATAATATATTATTAACTTGGACTAGCTGGTCTCCAGAGGTCCCTTCCAACCCCCTGTGATTCTGTGATGGACTCCGTGAAGGGATGCTGAGAAACGGCAAGACGATGAGCGCAGGAAGCAGAAGCTCAGCCCGGCTGCCCAAAGCCCCTTGTGACAAACCCTTGCCCAAGCCTCCGTGTGACCACAGAGGGATGTGAAACCACCCCCCCCTTACTCCTCTCCTACGGGTCGGAGGGGCTGTGTGCTGCTGCAAAGCACGGGATGCCCTCAACCCCAGCCATGAGCTCCCCACTGGACCTCAGGTTTGGGAGTCTGTGGCACGAGGGGCTTGGGCCAGCTTGCCCAGGTGGCCCCAGCCATAAATAAGCATTTTTTTGGTGTGACCAACCAGCTGAGCCAACCCGCTCCACCGTGTGTGGTGTCCCCAGCGGTGGAGGTGTGGGCACAAAAGTGCTCTCTCCTTGCACTGACCACAAGTTGCCTCTGTTTCAGAATCCAACCCTCTGCTGTCTTTCTCAGGGCTGTGAAAATTGCCCCTAGAGCTTGCTCAATTCCTTTCTCCTCCAGCTTTTATCACGGCAGGGGTTCTCCTTTTGAGCCCCCCCCCCCGGGGCTGTGGGGAGGAAGCTGGCGTCGGGGGAGCGTTTGCGTGTGGAGGGCATTGGCGTAAAATGGGAAAAAAAGTCATTTCTGTTCCCCACTTCTCTGTAAAACACAATGGTAGACACGTAATTTATACTTTTTCCCTTGCAGAGAAAGCAAAAATGTGTTCAGGGAGGTTTGTTTTTAACCTGTACTCCTGATTCTTTAGCAAAATGGCATTTACTGTAATACACATTAAACAAGTGAATATTAATTTCAGCTGATTTTTTTTTTTTTCCATGGACTGCTTGCAAATAATCTTTTGTTCCCCCCACGTGGAAAAAGGCCTGACAGGTTTGGCTTTGTTAGTCTGTTTCCTGTCTTCCTAGACTTTTTTTTGCTCCTCGTTGTCTCGCTGTGGCTCGAGCTTCGCGGCCCACTGCCCATCTTCCCGCCGTGCCCCAGCCCAGGAAGGGGGCTGAGGCCACCAGCCACCAGCAGAGCCCCAGCTCCTGTGGTGGCCTCCGGCCAGAAACCACGGCGCCAATGGGCAGGCAGGCAGCGTCACCCCAGCTCTTCATAGAGGACAAACTGTTAAAATCCTTAAAATGTTGCTGATGAGGGCTTTTTAAATGTTTTTCCCCACAGCGGTTGTGCATTTCAGCTTCCCACTTCCCTCTCTCCTCAGCAGACTCTGAGGATACCTTGGCATTTTGCATGAGCCCAGTCTACCCAGCCGGTGGGATGTTGGGTGTCTCCACTTCTAGAAAGCATCTAGAAGTGCATCTAGAGAGCATTGTGCTGCCAGGTCCAGTGTGACCTGGACAGGCTGGAGGACTGGGCTGAGAAGAACCTCATGAGGTTCATCAAGGGCAAGTGTAGGGTCCTGCACCTGGGGAGGAAGAACCCCAGGCACCAGTGTAGGTTACGGATGGACCTGCTGGAAAGCACTTCTGAGGAGAAGGATCTGGGGGTCCTGGTGGACAGTAAACTCTCCATGAGCCAGCAATGGGCCCTTGTGGCCAAGAGGCCAATGGGATCCTGGGCTGAGTAGGGAAGAGTGTGGCCAGGAGGTGGAGGGAGGTCATCCTCCCCCTCTGCTCTGCACTGGGGAGGCCACAACTGGAATCCTGCGTCCAGTTCTGGGCTCCCCAGTTCAAGAGAGACAGGGAACTGCTGGAGAGAGTCCAGCGAAGGGCAACAAAGATGATGGAGGGATTTGAGCATCTCCCTGATGAGGAAAGGCTGAGAGAGCTGGGACTCTTCAGCCTGGAGAAGAGAAGGCTGAGGGGAGACCTCATCTATGTTTCCAAGTTCCTAAAGGGTGGGTTGAAGGAGGATGGAGCCGGACTCTTTTCAATGGTTCCCAGTGACAGGACGAGGGGCAACGGGCACAAGCTGGACCATGGGAAGTTCCACTGCAATGTGAGGAAGAACTTGTTTGGGGTGAGGGTGGCAGAGCCCTGGCAGAGGCTGCCCAGGGAGGGTGTGGAGTCCCCTTCTCTGGAGATCTTCAAGACCTGCCTGGATGCTCCTGAGTGATGTGCTCTGGGCAACCCTGCTTTGGCAGGGGAGTTGGACTGGATGGTCTCTAGAGGTCCCTTCCAACTCTGACAATTCCCTGATTCCATGATCTGCTGAACTACAACTTTTTGCAAACCTCAATTCCTGCAGCCTCTTGTAATGTTTCTGGGGAAAAAAGGTCAGCCAGGCAGCCCCACCATAAAGCAGGAGCAGCCCCAGTTAAACTTTGGAGCTGTTGGCAGCCAAGAGGAGCATTTCAGGGCACAGCTCCCTGTTATCTCAGCGGCCCTAATAGTAAAAGTCTCCACTTCAGGCACCATAAATACCAGCCCGATGAGAAAGCTGGAAAGTTGCAGTTTAACCCGAACTTGTCCTTTTCCTGTTCTTGCTGATGGCGGGGTGGGGACACACACTACACGTGGGGTGCTTGGAAATTGGTGCTCAGACCCACTCCGTGCATCATCCCAGGAAACAGAACCTGCAGTTCTGGTGTCACACCTTCTCTACAAAATGTAGGAGTGCGCCCAAAACCGCCAGTGACTTGCACGAGCAGTTAAATATTTGGGGCATATTAGTGAAGAAATAGTAAAAGTTAGTATCTCACCGAGGGAAATGGATGAGGGTACGGTAAGCACTCAGTTTTATTTTATTTTACAATAGCTGGGCTACGTGGCTCGTGACCAGCACTTAGGGAACCGGCCTAATTCTTACAGAAAAACCTCCGTTGCGGGGTATATTTGCTAATTCAGAAATAAAACCCTAAATGCATCCCTGGGAAGGACTCTTGCTGCAGACAGGGGAGAGGATTAAAAGCAGAGGTAACCATCCCAGCTGCCTCCTTACCTGGGGCTGGATGGAAGTGGAGGAGGACAGTCGGGGCCGGGGCATCCCCCCCATCACAGGGTGTTGACACCCCCCTGCCATGCACCCACCCACAGATGGGTTTAGCTGGTGCTGGCTTTGACTAAAAGCATCATGTTTTGCCCACTGCACCATCCAGCTGGGGCAGGGGCTGTGTTCTGGGCACCGCTGGGATGTTTTAACCACCCAGGACCCCCTGTCACAGCCCCCCTCCACCTCCACGCTGCCCACCCATTGGCACCCAAGCCTGGTTGTGAAAGCCAACACATCTGCACAACCCCTTCATCCAAAACACCTTTTCCTCCAGAAAAGGGGAAAAGCTGAGAGTGAAGCACCCTGAGGTGCTCTTCATTTGACCCAGTCGAGGAGCGGAGAAGCCTGCTTTTTGTTTGGGGAAAAAAAAACTTGGGAAAATGTCTATCCCGACAAACGCACACCGTTCAGAGCTGTTCTCCACCAAACAACAACCACACGTGGGAATGAATGAGGGAAGAAGACAACGTGCATGAAGTCATTTTGAAAAAAAAATAAAAAAAAAATTCACGTTATGCTATTGATAACAAATAGTAACTTCCTAGGTAAATCACGATTTCCCAGAATTGTGATTTAATTCTGGGGAAAAAGAAAAAAAAAAAAAAAAAAGGGTGGGGCACAACTTCTGACCTTCCCCCTCCAGTTACCTCCCCCCACATTATACTTGCCCGCTGCTCCCTGCCAATGAGAGCCTCCCAGAGTGAAAAAGTTTAGTTTCGCCTTCCCCAGAGCCTCTTTGCACAGGGTCCCAGCTGGCAGAGAAGGCTGCACTCACCGAAGCTGCTCCCCTCAAGGTTGGTTCTCTTAAAGCATGGAAATAGTAAAAAAAAACCAAAAACCAACTTGTTAGCCTGGGAAATGTGGGATAGTAGTGCAAAAGTAGAGGGTTGGGGTTTTTTGTGGTTTTTTTTTTCCTGCTCAGCATATAATTTAAAGCAAGTTATATGGCAAATCCTATTTGGGGAAGGAAGGAGGTTTTTAAAAAGCTATGCTTTTTATGGTTTTTTTTTATGGGTTATGGAGAGGTCGGTTCTTCTTTGCTGCTTTCTCCTGCTCCCAGCTCTGTGTAACTGCTCTCCAAGGGATCTGGCTGGTCTTTTGCTCTCGGGTTAAATGAGGCTCTTTCTTGACCATGTGGATGGTCAAGGCAAAGTTCCTCCTGGCCAGGCTGCTTGGCTCTGTGTTCCCTGCAGGTTCTGGGGATGTGCTGGGGGCCAGAAGCTTGGGTGTCCATCCCTTTTGTATGTTGCTGCCTGGTCTCTTTTGGGGTTGTTTTTTTTTTTTTGTCCATGGGGCATATTTTTATCACTGGGGTTTGCTGTTGTTGGTGGCCAGAGCATCCTAAGGCTGAGATCCCATCGGGGAGGGTTGGCAGCTGAGAGAGAAGAAAGCATGCAAATAGCGCTGGTGGACTCCAAACTTGAGAATTTTGGGGAGCAGGGAGATGTCCCATGTGTTGGGGGGCACTGGGGTGGGTGGGCAGAGGGAAGTTCTGGGAGGCAGTGCCTCCAGACACATGCCTGGATGCTTTCGGGAGAGGGGGATTTCTGGAAGAAGAGGGTTTCTGGAGGCACAGGAGTCTCCCCAAGGCCTGGGGAGGGAAGGAAGGGGGGGGGAGGGATGGGGGGTGTCCCTCCCCCGCACCTCAACCGCCACCCTCAGCCCCAGCATTTCACTTTCTGTTCTGGATTTTGAGCTCAGGAGTGGTGCGGGGAGGAGCCTGACCACCCAACAGCAGCTGCTGCCCTCCCCAAGCTGCTATTTCAACGAAAAAAAAAGAAAAAAAAAAGGAAAAAAAAAAAAAACAAACCCCAATTTGTAGCAAAAAGTCTCAATTGTGAGCAGGCAGTTTAATTTATTTTTTTTCCCTTTCTTCTAACTGTGCCTAACTGGAAGAACTAGGCAGTTAAATTTTTATTTGTATTGTTTTTCCCCTTTGCCTTTCTTCTAAGTGTGCCTAACTGGAAGAACTGGGCAGTTTAATTTTTATTTATGGTTTGTTTTTTTTTTTTCCCTTCCCCTTTCTTCTAATTGTGCCTAACTGGAAGAGCACGACCTCAGGGCAAAACTTCTAATTGTGTGGTGGTTTCGTGGTTTAACCCCAGATGGTAGCTAGAAGAGCTGCTACAGGGGGAGAAAAACAGAAGAGCAGAAGTGAGAAAAAAAAACCCAAAACAACCCCACGGCTGAGATAAAGACAGTTTAATAGGTAAAGAGGGAACGCCGCGCGCGCAAGCAAAGCAAGACAAGGGATTCATTCCCTGCTTCCCACGGGCAGGCAGGTGTTCAGGAAAGCAGGGATCCTGACTAAAAACACCAATCAAAAATATTTCTCATCCCAGCTCTAACACACAGCACTACACCAGCTGCTCATAAAAAAAGTTAACTCTATCCCAACCGAAACCACGACAAGCTGGTACCAGAGGATGCTCCGTGCTGTCTTTTACTCGGCTGGTGGAAGAGGAGCACAGAGATTTGAGGGTTTGGGGTTTTTTTAGAGCTGAAGCTTACTGGGTTTCCTGGTTTCAGCTGAGATAGAATTAGTTTTGCTGCATTTCCAGGTACAGTGTGACAGGAGGGTCAATAATGCATATTGGTTTAGTTGTTGCTAAGTGATGTTTATACTAGTCAAGGACTTTTTTCAGCTTCCCATAGAAGCATAGACGGAACAACAGAGTGGCCAGTGGGATATTCCTTACCAATAGACATCGTGCTCATGGGGGTTGGACGAGGGGGGTGGTGGGATCTGCCATCTCAGCTCGGGCCAGTCTGGGCAACCAATTCACCAGGCAGTGAGAGTAACTTGTGTCTTGTGTATTCTGTAACCATTACTGTTATTGTTGTTATTATTGTTTTGCTTTTCCATATTGTTCATTTTAGTCTGGAGAAGAGAAGGCTGAGGGGATCTGATCAAGGCTTGTAAATCTTTCAAGGGAGGGTGTCAAGAGGATGGGGCTGGTCTTTTTTCAGTGGTGCCCAGGGACAGGACAAGAGGAAATGGGCACAAACTTGACTGTAAGAAGCTCCACCTAAAGATAGGGAGGAACTTCTTTGCTGTGAGGGTGGCAGAGCCCTGGCAGAGGCTGCCCAGGGAGGTGGTGGAGTCTCCTTCTCTGGAGACATTCAAACCCACCTGGACACGTTCCTGTGGGACCTGCTCTGGGTGGCCCTGCTCTGGCAGGGGGTTGGGCTAGATGATCTCCAGAGGTCCCTTCCAACCCCAGAGCATTGTGTGATTCTATTAAACTGTCTTTATCTCAACCCATGGGTTGTTTTTTTTTTTCACCTTTCTCCTTTTCTGCCTCTTCTTCCTACTCTTCTGTGGGGAGAAAGGGAGGTGAGCGAGAGGCTGCGTGGTCCTGGTTTGTGGCTGGGGTTAAACCACGACACTGGTTTTCATGGTTTACTTGCTTGGTTTACTAACCACAGGAAGGCAGGGAGTGGGGTTCAGACTTGGGACATAGTATTGAGTTTCTGCCTTTCTGGCTCTCTGTGACAAGAAACCAGCGATACTGGTTTCCTGCTGCCGGTGTCTGGCCTGGAGCCCAGTTTTGCTACGAGGCCATGCAAGACCACGACTGCCTCATGCTTCGTACCCCTGGCAAAGAGGTCCCGTGTTGAGATATGCCAAGTTCAGCAGCTGAAGTGCCCAGGTGGGCTGGCTGTAGCCAAGGTTCACTGCCCAGCCCTGCCTGGCACAAGGGAGATGGGTCACCTGTGTCCAAGCACCAGGGAAGCCTCTCTGGGGTGGAGCGGGGGATGTCACTGGCCTGATGCTATTTTGAAGGCTGGATAAAATGGCAGAAAATGCAAAAAAAAACCCCAAACCACTGGAAAAGGCACAAAGGCAGGTAAGGTATGGTTGCGCTTCATCACTCCAGAGGGGTGTGCCACCATCTAGCATGACCTGAAGAGGCTGGAGGACTGGGCTGAGAAGAACCTCATGAGGTTCATCAAGGGCAAGTGTAGGGTCCTACACCTGGAGAGGAAGAACCCCAGGCACCAGTGTAGGTTATGGATGGACCTGCTGGAAAGCACTTCTGAGGAGAAGGATCTGGGGGTCCTGGTGGACAGTAAACTCTCCATGAGCCAGCAATGTGCCCTTGTGGCCAAGAGGCCAATGGGATCCTGGACTGCGTAGGGAAGAGTGTGGCCAGGAGGTGGAGGGAGGTCATTCTCCCCCTCTGCTCTGCACTGGGGAGGCCACAACTGGAATCCTGTGTCCAGTTCTGGGCTCCCCAGTTCAAGAGGGACAGGGAACTGCTGGAGAGAGTCCAGCCTGGGGCAACAAAGATGATGGAGGGACTGGAGCATCTTCCTGATGAGGAAAGGCTGAGAGAGCTGGGGCTCTGCAGCCTGGAGAAGAGAAGGCTGAGGGGAGACCTTATTAATGCTTCCAAGGATCTGAAGGGTGGGTTGAGGGAGGATGAAGCCAGACTCTTTTCAGTGGTTCCCAGTGACAGGACGAGGGGCAACGGGCACAAGCTGGACCATGGGAAGTTCCACTCCAATGGGAGGAAGAACTTGTTTGGGGTGAGGGTGGCAGAGCCCTGGCAGAGGCTGCCCAGGGAGGGTGTGGAGTCCCCTTCTCTGGAGATCTTCAAGCCCCGCCTGGATGCTCCTGAGTGATGTGCTCTGGGCAGCCCTGCTTTGGCAGGGGAGTTGGACTGGATGGTTTCTAGAGGTCCCTTCCAACTCCAACAATTCCATGATTCCGTGATCTCCAGCGGCAGCCCCTGCTGAGGAGCGATGGCCACCAGCTCTGTCGAGGGAGCAGACCCACCGGGTTTTTCACTCACTGCCTTGTCCCCCCCTTCCCTTCTCTTTCAGAAGAGCAACTAGAGATGGCCACCCCGTCCGTGGTGACGCTCCAGCCGCAGTACGCCGTGGCCGTGCCCACTGTCTCCAGCAGCGTGTGGCAGACGGGGCTGACGGACTGCTGCTCCGACTGTGGCGTCTGTGAGTGCCTCAGGCGGTCCCATCCCTCCACCATCAGCAGTGACGTGCTGTGGTCGCTCCCCACGTCCTCTTGGGGCCACAGTTCTCTCTCCCCCCCACTGCCACCTGGGTTGGTGGTGCGACAGCTACAGTCACATAGCCTGGTCCTCCCCGTTCCTGCCCCGTTGCTGGTGGTGCCGGGTGGGCAGGGAGAACCTCACCCCCTGATGCCTTTCTCCCCACATCAGGCTGCTGCGGGATGTTCTGCTTCCCCTGCCTCGCCTGCCAAGTGGCTGGGGACATGGGCGAGTGCTGCCTCTGCGGGACCAGCGTGGCCATGAGGACCCTCTACCGCACCAGATACAACATCCCGGTCAGTGGTCAACCCACCCCCCTCACCACACTGCGAGGCTGAAAGACAAGGTGCCCCCCTCTCTCTCCACATCAGGGATGAGCAGCAAGCGCTCTCCACTCGCCCCTTTTTTCCCACTTTCATGTCCAATGTGATGCCGGGAGCACAGGACAGGGATGGGGATGCCCTCGGCTGCGCTGGTCCCTGGGCTGGTGTCCACCAACGCGTGCTCCTTCCCAGCACCCTTCACCACACAGAATCACAGAATCTTCAAGTTTGGAAGGGACCTCTGAGATCACCGAGTCCAACCACACACACACACACAAAACACCCCCACAATCTCAGCCACTAGAGCATGCCCTGAAGAACCACATCTGCATGTTTCTTAAATCCTTCCAGGGATGGTGACTCCACCACAGAATCACACAGAATCCAATGGGGTTGGAAGGGACCTCTGGAGATCATCTAGTCCAACCCCCTGCCAAAGCAGGGCCACCCAGAACAGGTTGCACAGGAACCTGTCCAGGAGGGGTTTGTCCAGAGAAGGAGACTCCACCACCTCCCTGGGCAGCCTCTGCCAGGGCTCTGCCACCCTCACAGGAAAGAAGTTCCTCCTCATCTTTAGGTGGAACTTCTTACATTCAAGTTTGTGCCCATTTCCTCTTGTCCTGTCTCTGGGCACCACTGAAAAAAGACCGGCCCCATCCTCTTGACACCCTCCCTTGAAGTATTTATAAGCATTGATCAGATCCCACCTCAGTCTTCCCTTCACCAGACTAAAAAGATCCAAGTCCCTCAACCTCTCAGCCACCTCCCTGGTCCAGGGCCTGACCACCCTTTCAGGAAAGTCATTCTTCCCAAGATCTCATCTAAACCTCCCCTGCCCCAACTTCAGACCATTTCCTCTGCTCTTGTCATTATTCTTCCTGGGAGAAGAGGCCAACCCCCACCTCTCTCCACCCTCCTTTCAGGGAGCTGGAGAGGGCAAGGAGGTCTCCCCTCAGCCTCCTCTTCTCCAAACTCAGCATGTCCTGCCAACCACAGCAGCTCCATGAGCCCCAGCTGCCATCCCCAGTCTTTGAAAGATGGGAAAGATTTGAGATAATTGTGGGCAGAGTAAAGAATAGATGGTCAGTCGGACAGATGAACACCCCTAATGGGATGCAGGAGAAAGGTGCACATTCCCATACAGTATATTTGTGAAAGAGTTTCTTCCCACCAGGGGTTTGTGCTGTCACTGGACACGCTGGCCCAAGTCCAGTTTGCCCAAATTGTCTCTTTCTGTGTGTGTTTTGCCCCCGACTCTTAACCCCAGAAGCTGAAGGAGAAGTAGTTCTCTGCGGCCTGCAGAAAGGGCTCCCTTCTTTCTTTCCCCTGTGGGGGGGTTCACCAGCCCTGGTTTTTAGTGCCTGCTGCTCAGATGCTAGAACCAGCCAGGAAAAAAAGGGCACACGAGATGGAATGCGATTAACGGTTTAGTGGTGGAAAGGTGGCTTTTGGGAGGCCTCTGTCCCTAACCAGCTTCTTCCTAACAGGGGTCCATTTGTTCTGACTTCTGTGTCACCACATGGTGCCTCGTGTGCTCCGTTTGCCAAATGAAGAGAGACATCAACCGGAGGAAGCAGATGGGCATATTCTGGTAAGCTGGGCGTGCTGGTGCTGGTGGATAAAGCCACCACCTCACACAGCAAAGCGGCTTCCTGGAGTCTCTCCTGCCAACTCCTGAAGTGAGACACAGGGTTGCTGCAGTGGGGAAGTGGCCATGGACAAGTGACAAGAATGACCTGTCCTGCAGCAAAATCATAGAATCATAGAATGGTTTGGGTTGGAAGGGACCTTAAAGATCATCGAGTCCCCAACCCCCTGCCCTGGGCAGGGACACCTCCCACCAGACCAGGTTGCTCCAAGCCCCATCCAGCCTGGCCTTGAACCCCTCCAGGGATGGGGCAGCCACAGCTTCTCTGGGCAACCTCTTCCAGTGTCTCACCACCCTCACAGCAAAGAATTTCTTTCTGGTATCTCATCTAAATCTCCCCTCTTCCAATTTAAAACCGTTCCCCCTTGTCCTGTCCCTGCACTTCCTGACAAAGAGTCCCTCCCCAGCTCTCCTGTAGCCCCTTCAGATATTGGAAGGGGCTCTAAGGTCTCCCCGGAGCCTTCTCTTCTCCAGGCTGAACAACCCCAGCTCTCTCAGCCTGTCCTCACAGCAGAGGTGCTCCAGCCCTCTGAGCATCTTCATGGCCCTCGGCTGGACCCGTTCCAACATATCCATGTCCTGGGAACCTTGTGCAGGACAGGGTGCTAGGACTGGTGAGGCACAGTCCTGCTCCTGACCCTCCTCTCCCATCCCATTGCAGATGCCACCATCCTCGCTGCGCCCTGAGGAGCTGCTGTGGACTGGAGTTACCACTACCCTGGCTATTGGTAAATGGCACCATGGGGGCTTTGCTTTGACGACGGTTGCTTGCCCCTTCCCTGGTTAACATTGTGAATAAACAGCAGAGTTTGTCTTCCTACCCATGTGTGTGTGTCATTCTTGCACCACTTGAGAGCACCCACCTTCTCCCACACCGTCCACCTCAGCAGCCCCCAGTGCAGCTGAGATTTCCCTGCGTCTGCTGCAGAGAAAGATTTTCACTGATATTTTTTTATTCACTTAGATTCATGGACAAGTGCCGGGTCCTGCCCTTGGGTCCCACCAACCCCCTGCAGCGCTCCAGGCTGGGGGCAGAGTGGCTGGAGCTGCCTGGCAGAAAAGGCCCTGGGGGTGTTGGTGGACTGTGGGCTGAACAGGAGCCAGCAGTGTGCCCAGGTGGCCCAGAAGGCCACCAGCATCCTGGCCTGTGTCAGGAACAGCGTGGGGAGTAGGACTCAGGAGGTGATGGTCCCCCTGTGCTGGGCACTGGTGAGGCCCCACCTCGAGGGCTGTCCAGTTTCGGGCCCCTCACCACAAAAAAGACACTGAGGGGCTGGAGCGTGTCCAGAGAAGGGCAACAGAGCTGGTGAGGGGTCTGGAGAACAAGTCTCCTGAGGAGAGGCTGAGGGAGCTGGGGGTGTTCAGACTGGAGAACAGGAGGCTGAGGGGAGACCTTCTCGCTCTCTCCAACTCCCTGAAAGGAGGGTGTAGCCGGGGGGGGTCGGTCTCTTCTCCCAAGTCCCAGGCCATGGGACAAGAGGAAATGGCCTCAAGTTGCACCAGGGCAGGTTCAGGGTGGAGACTGGGAAAAATGTTTACACGGAAAGGGTTATTAAGCCTTGGAATGGGCTGCCCAGGGAAGGGTTTGAGGCACCATCCCTGGAGGTATTTGAAAGACAGGTAGAAATAGCACCTAGAGATATGGTTTAGTGATGGTTTTTTGTCAGTATTACTCATCCAAGTTGGAAAAGTGACTTCTGCTCCAAGACAGAGCTGGGGCTTCCAGCAGTCAGGTGATGGCTGCAGGCCACTGAGTGCCAAGTTGTCGAAGTGACATCCACCCTCTCTCCATCACTCTCAGAGAGATGCTGAAGGATTTTTAATCCTTACAAAACTCCCCCAGCTTCACTCTGTAAGGAAAATATGGTATTTCTTTTCCCCCCTCTGCCTTCACCTTCACCACAAACCTTGTGAAGGGCAGGTAGAGGCTCTGTCAGTGCTGTGAGGTGGGTCCATCCTGCAGCACCCACACCTGCCTAAACTCCAGATGGCCCAGAGAGTCCTGTGGATGATCCCTGGAAATAAAAAAAACTGCATTTTTAGCCCAAGAGAGGTAAAGGCTGGGAATGGGGGACAGGGGGACAGGAAAGAGGGAAAACCACGCTGCTGTCTCATCCCAGCACAGGGTGGTAGGATTTTGTAGCTGTACCTTGAGGCAGTGCCAGTGTCACCCAATGGAGTTAGAATCATAGAATCATTCAGGTTGGAAAAGACCCTTGGGATCATCCAGTCCAACCATCAACCCCACTCTACAAAGTTCTCCCCTACACCATATCCCTCAACACCACATCCAAACGACTGTTAAACACATCCAGAGACGGTGACTCAACCCCCTCCCTGGGCAGCCTATTCCAGTCTCTGACCACTCTTTCCATGACTAATTGTTTCCTAATGGCCACTCTAAACCCACCCTGTTGCAGCTTGAAGCCATTCCCTCTTGTTCTATGGCTAATTACCTGGGAGAAGAGACCAGCTCCAACCTCTCTACAATGGCCTTTCAAGTAGTTGTAGAGTGATGAGGTCTCCCCTCAGCCTCCTCTTCCTCAAATTAAACAGTCCCAGCTCCTTCAATAACTCTTCAGAAGATTTCTTCTCCAGACCCTTCACCAGCTTCATTGCCCTCCTCTGCACGCACTCCAGCACCTCCATGTCTCTCTTGGATTGAGGTGCCCAAAACTGGACACAGTACTCCAGGTGTGGCCTCACCAGTGCTGAGTACTGGGGGACAATCACCTCCCTACTTCTGGTGGCCACACTATTTCTAATCCAAGCCAGGATGACATTGGCTTTCTTGACCACCTGGGCACACGGCTGGCTCATAATCAGTCTCTGGTCAATTAGAACCCCCAGGTCCTTTTCTGCCAGGCAGCTCCAGCCACACTTCCCCCAGCCTGTAGCACTGCATGAGGTTGGTGTGGCCCAAGTGCAGGACCTGGCACTTGGCCTTGTTGAGGCTCCTACCATTAATGTTGGCCCATCGATCCAGTCTATCCAAGTCTCTGTGTAGAGCCTCCCTGTCCTCATGTAGATCAACTGACCTAGGAGTCCTGGTGGACAACAGGATGCCCATGAGCCAACAATGTGCCCTTGTGGCCAAGAAGGCCAATGGCATCCTGGGGTGCATCAAGAAGAATATGACCAGCAGGTAGAGGGAGGTCATCCTGCCCCTCTGCTCTGCCCTGGGGAGGCCCCAGCTGGAGCACTGGGACCAGTTCTGGGCTCCCCAGTTCCAGAGGGACAGGGAACTGCTGGAGAGGGGACAGCAGAGGGCTACAAAGAGGATGAGGGGCCTGGAGCATCTCCCTTACGAGGAGAGGCTGAGGGACTTAGGTCTTTTGAGTCTGGAGAAGAGAAGGCTGAGGGGGGATCTGATCAAGGCTTATAAATACTTCAAGGGAGGGTGTCAGGAGGATGGGGTCAGTCTTTTTTCAGTGGTGCAGGGGACAGGACAAGAGGAAATGGGCACAAACTTGAATGTAAGAAGTTCCACCTAAAGATGAGGAGGCACTTCTTTGCTGTGAGGGTGGCAGAGCCCTGGCAGAGGCTGCCCAGGGAGGTGGTGGAGCCTCCTTCTCTGGAGACATTCAGACCCACCTGGACACGTTCCTGTGGGACCTGCTCTGGGTGGACCTGCTTTGGCAGGGGGTTGGATTAGATGATCTCCGGAGGTCCCTTCCCACCCCATGTCATTCTATGATTCTGTAAACACTCCCGCTTAACTTGGAGTCATCTGAGAACTTACTGATGACCCACTCTGTCCTTATCATCACTAAAGACATTAAATAGAAATGGTCCCAACACTGACCCCCGAGGAACACCACTTGTGACCAGCCACCAGCTGGATTCAACTTGGACCACCAAGTTACCCCACTGACCACCAGTTACACTCGGTTCCTGGGGCTTAATGGAGGAGAGGCACTGCACCTCGGGTGGCACATGGCTTAAGGCAGGGCAGGAGCCTGAAAACAAACTCTCCCTGGCTGAAAACCACTCCTGAAAGCGGGGTTGTCCCATGGAGCCCTTGGTCCTGCAGGATGCTGGGGTGGGGAAAGGCGAGGAGGTTGGCCCTCGGGACGGGAAGCCACAATTGCGCAAAGCAGCAGCCCAGCTGCCAGCCGGGGTTAGTCAGAGGGAGCAGAGTTCGTTCAGCGGGGAGCACCCAGAGCATATAAAGGATGGGAACCAGGAACAGGAGACACGTCTGTGGGGACCAGGGCGGGTAGGTACGGCTCGGCTTTGTCTTGGCTTTGGGGGGAGTGGCGGTGCGGAGCTACGGGAGCTGCTGGGGAAGGGGTGGAAAGGGAGGTGATGTTTTCTATCTGGAAAAAACCCAAAACCAGCACTCAAGAGCTCAGCCAGAGCGTGCCTGCTGCAGGCATCTTGACAGGAGTGGGCAGCAGAGGTAAAGGACAGCAGCTTTTGCGCTCTGTCGTCCCTCTGTCCCACCTCTCCGTGTGACTATTCCCTGATAAAATGCCGCTTGGTGACCTCGGTGATGGGTGAGATGTGGCTCTCTGTGTGCCTCAGGACCCCCTTCTTGGTCCCATCAGCCCTTCCGACGCTGCCGGCGGTGCTGTGGAGCTGCAGATGTGGGGGGGGTCTCGAGTGATGTGCTGGGGGTGCTGGGCCACCTCTCGAGAGGTGGGAACGGAGGGAAGGCTTCTCCAGGCTCCTGCCTCCATCTTCACGGGGACACGGTGTGCTCCAACTTGGGGAGAGGAAGGGAAGGGAAAGTCTTGTGGTCAGCCCTGCCTGTAAAGGTCATGGTGGAGGTGGGGGGTGTGTGGTGGTGAGCACCACTCAGCTGTGTTTTCACCGTGGGCTGCCATTAATCTCGTTATCTGGTGGAGGGGGAGCACCTCCTTTGGCACAGGAGGGAGGCTGGTGGGGTCGTGCCCCTAAACCTTCTCCTGCTGCTGCTCCCACCCGTGCTTTGTCCTGTGGTCCCTGCCTGTTGCCGGGCATCCCTGTCCCTGCGTGGGACATCCTCCCCTCTTCCTCCATGCTGTCCCTGCCTGGTGTCCCCACCACGCAGCCTGTCCGTGGTCTGTCCCCTCCCCTGGCTCCTGCTTCTTAGGAGGCTTTTAGGAGGCTTCTTAGGAGGCTCCCTCAGGGGCTGCCATTTCGAGGTGCCGTGGGGTGTTCTGTCAGCTGCAGAGGTGGCAGGAATTACCTGTCTGACCATGGAGGGACAGTCGGCTGGGGCAGAGGCAGGAGGTGTGTCTGGCGAGGGCTGATGGCCACCGTGGTGCCCCCTGCACCCACCAGTGGTGGGGGTTGCCTGCACTCGCTCCAAAGGTGCCTGCCAGCATGGACTTTCTTCCCTCCTCTGGCGTAATTCGACATCTCTTTTCATCTCCCTGTGGTACCAGGGGACAAGGGTTGGCTGACCTTGTCAGGATGAGGATGAAACAGAGACGTGTCCAGGCCAGTCTAAAGGACAGGGAGCTGCAGGAGGTGCCAGCAGAGCCACCAACCCCTCTGCTGCCTGTTGTTGGCAATAGGCAATACTAATGCAGTGCCACAGCCCGTGTCTCTCCAGTGTCGGCTGTGGGCAATGACAGCAGGTGGAGGGAGGTCATCCTGCCCCTCTGCTCTGCCCTGGGGAGGCCCCAGCTGGAGCACTGGGACCAGTTCTGGGCTCCCCAGTTCCAGAAGGACAGGGAACTGCTGGAGAGGGGACAGCAGAGGGCTACAAAGAGGATGAGGGGCCTGGAGCATCTCTCTTACGAGGAGAGGCTGAGGGACTTGGGTCTTTTGAGTCTGGAGAAGAGAAGGCTGAGGGGGGATCTGATCAAGGCTTATAAGTACTTCAAGGGAGGGTGTCAGGAGGATGGGGCTGGTCTTTTTTCAGTGGTGCCCAGGGACAGGACAAGAGGAAATGGGCACAAACTTGACTATAAGAAGTTCCACCTAAAGATGAGGAGGAACTTCTTTGGGGTGAGGGTGGCAGAGCCCTGGCAGAGGCTGCCCAGGGAGGTGGTGGAGTCTCCTTCTCTGGAGACATTCAAACCCACCTGGACACGTTCCTGTGGGACCTGCTCTGAGTGGCCCTGCTTTGGCAGGGGGTTGGACTAGATGATCTCCAGAGGTCCCTTCCAACCCCATGTCATTCTGTGCTTCTGACTCTGTAATGCACTTGATGGCATCATCTGAGTGTAAGTAATATATTTATCCCACCACGACCCTGGAGACTTGGGTTTAATGCTAAATTCTCTCTAGATGTGTAATACTCCTGCGAGAATAATCGCATTTCCTCTGCAGTGTTTTGACAGCATTTACAGGGATTAATGCCACTATTCCTGCCTTCAAAATGTAAATGCTTCCTCTATTTTTCTTTTTGCTCCTCCCCTGTATCCCGGGCACTCCCTTGCCATTGTCACACAAGGGCTGGGAGCTCTAGGGCAGGGAGGGGAGGGCTGCTCAGTGAGTACCCCCAGGTCCCCCCTGTCCATCACCCCTCTGTCACCCCTGCGCAGGCAGGAAGAACGTGTCAAAACTGGGCAGGGACAGGCAGGACACCAACCGTCTGAAGATGCTCGGCTGAACAGCCAGAACGCCCGCGGTGGAAATGGCCATGGGCTGTGCATGGGACGTGGCAGCTGGAGAGGACCTCCCCAGGGAGTGTCGTGGGTGGAGTGATCAACTTCACTCCTGAGAGAGAAGTAGTGAAATGTTTATTAAGGTGAAACAGTGATTTAACAAAATCAGTAGTAAATGTGATAAAACCAGTAGTAAATGTGACAGTGTTTGATGAGATGCGATGTCAAGGCCCACTCTGTTATTGACTGCCCAGAGGACAGGGTCAGACACTGTCAGGGAGACCCTCCCCTGGAGTCAGGAGGTTCAGGAAGGACCCCCTGCCTTTCTAAGCTCCTTCTCAGAGAGGAGTCTGGGTGGGTCCAATCCTGGTCCCAGACTTGGTCAAGGGTTTATGTTTAAAGGGTTATATCTGTGCAATCAATCCTTTATATCACTTAGCTAAGATTTCAAAGTTTATCAGGCTGTTAGTCACTTATGGAGAACCTGTTGCAGCAACGAGTCTCTGAACCTCAAGGAGTAGAACCTTAAGTGCGTGTCCTCACCCCCGGGGAGCTCCTGGTGTGGAGTCGCTGCCATCCAGGAGATGTTTAGCAGGCTATCAGTCACTTACCAAGAACCTGTTGTGGCAAGGAATCTCTCAACCTCAAGGAGCAGAATGTTAAGCGAGCATCTTTACAAAAGGGGAGATCCTGGTGTGGAGTCGCTGCCATCCAGGAGAGCTCCTGGGGCTTTGGGGCTGTCCACTATTTACAGAGTGAGATAATTGACCTACAGTCATATCCTCATGGGAACAAAATATCTAGGTGCCCACTCCAGACAGTGTTTTGGCTGCTGTTGCCAGCCATCCCCCAAAGTCCAGGTGCAAGTTGTCACAACTGATGTTGTGGTGGCCGTGGTGGCCACGGCCCGAGCAGGAGCCTGGGGGATGGAGGGTGGGGAGGAGGAGTGGGAAAAACAGGGAGAGCACCCCCACAGGGAGCTGCTCTGGGACCCTTCCCTGGAGTTACGGTGTCCAAAGCTCAGGCTGCTGTAGAGCTTGATGAGTCCTTTGCTGAGATTGTGTGGCCGTGTGCTGGGAGCAGGAGAGAGCCCTGGGACCTGTAAGGAGCAGAGGAGCCTTTGCTGCTTAACAGAGTGGTGGCGAGTGTGGGCACAGGGCAGGGAGTGTGTCTGTATGGGACCTCCTATGGGAGCATCCTCTAGTTTCTTTGTTTTAGTTGTTGTTTTTTTTTTTAATTAAAGCTCCAATGCTGAAGTAAGAATGGTGGAGGGTGGTGCCATGCCTTGCAGGAAGCAGTGGGGAGGGAAGGGGCCACACCTGGAGGTGGAGATGGAGTTGTTCCATGGGTCAGGTGGGTTTGGGGATGGTGCTGTAGAGCAGGAGCTCTGCCGGTCTCAGGGGCTTGCAGGCCCTCACTGGGGAAGGACAGGCAGGAGTTGGGGGGGCTCCAAGTGCCACGGTGGCCCCCCCAGGGAAGCAAGGAAGAGAGAGATGAGGATGAGGCACTGGCACAGAGAGGCAAGTGGAGGAGGGGTGGGAACTGGTGACTGGGCTTAGGGTGATGGAAAGGGAGGAGGAAAACCCACTGCCTGGAAGCCTGCTAAGAAAGCAGGTGAAGAAGGAAGGGAGACGGGAAGGCGAACAGGCTGAGATCTTCAGGGAACAAAGCAAAGGTTAAGGTGACTACTGAGAGCTTGGGGAAGCTAGGACTGAGCTGTAGTAGCTTTAGGACATTGTGAATGTTAAAAAAATCCCCAACACACCACTTGAAGCAGGTAACGATGAAAGATGAACTGGAGATGAGAATCAGTGTTGAAGCGCTGAGGCTCAGAAGCAGAAGAACTTCTGTTCAGGAAGAAATTTTTTACTATGAGGGTGGTGAGGCACTGGGACAGGTTGCCCAGAGAAGCTGTGGCTGCCCCATCCCTGGAGGGGTTCAAGGCCAGGCTGGATGGGGCTTGGAGCAACCTGGTCTGGTGGGAGGTGTCCCTGCCCAGGGCAGGGGGTTGGAACTCAATGATCTTTGAGGTCCCTTCCAACCCAAACCATTCTATGATTCATTATACTTGCATAGGCAGGGGGATGAAGTGCTGCTGCCTTTGGTGGGGGAGCTGGTTTTGGGGAGGGCTCTGCTGCAAAGGACAGTGGCAGCTCCTGGCAGAGCTGTGCCCCCTATTTCTGGAGAGGGTGGCAGTGCCCTGGCAGTGGGGACCCTGCAGGGACCTGTGCTGCCCTCCCTGCCTTTGAATGCAGCACCCTGAGCGAGACACCCCCCCTTCAGAAACACCTGCAGCACCTTTCTCTGATGGCTTTTCCTTCCAGACCACAGACTGCCCGGAGGGACCTGACCCTGTGCTGCTGGCAATGGCTGCTAACAACGCCATCACCTTCCAGCCCCAGATTTCGATCGCCCCGCGGGTGGGCGAGTGGCAAACGGGGCTGATGGACTGCTGCTCCGACTGCGGCGTGTGTGAGTAGCTGTGGACCCCCTCCTTCCTGGCCTCGGCTCTCCATGTGTTGCTGGTGTCTCCTCCACACCTCCTGTGCCATTGTCCCCCCCCGCTGCAAACCCTACTTTTGTCTCATCTGGGGTCAGGAGGCACAGCTCTGGTGTCTGCATCCCCCTCTAGGCTTTCCACCCTCCCTCTTCTTCTGCACCTCTCAGCCAAGCCCGTGTCTCGCTCTCCTGCAGGTCTTTGTGGAGCCTTCTGCTTCACCTGCCTGGGGTGCCAAGTGGCCGAGGACATGGGCGAGTGCTGCCTGTGCGGCCCCAGCGTGGCCATGAGGACCCTCTACCGCACCAGATACAACATCCCGGTCAGTGACAGGCTGGGGTCAACAGCCACCAGCTGGGTGGCAGGGTGTGGGATGAGGGAAGGAGAAAGGGAGGCCTGAGAGGAAGAGCAGAAACGGGGAGTTGCATGGGTAGCCCCGCAGGCAGGGAGCCAGGGACACATCTCCATCCTGGAGGTAATTCCATACCACACTGCCTCATCACAGAGTCTTAAATGTGACAGTGTTTGATGAGATGCGATGTCAAGGCCCACTCTGTTATTGACTGCCCAGAGGACAGGGTCAGACACTGTCAGGGAGACCCTCCCCTGGAGTCAGGAGGTTCAGGAAGGACCCCCTGCCTTTCTAAGCTCCTTCTCAGAGAGGAGTCTGGGTGGGTCCAATCCTGGTCCCAGACTTGGTCAAGGGTTTATGTTTAAAGGGTTATATCTGTGCAATCAATCCTTTATATCACTTAGCTAAGATTTCAAAGTTTATCAGGCTGTTAGTCACTTATGGAGAACCTGTTGCAGCAACGAGTCTCTGAACCTCAAGGAGTAGAACCTTAAGTGAGTGTCCTCACCACAGGGGAGATCCTGGTGTGGAGTCGCTGCCATCCAGGAGATGTTTAGCAGGCTATCAGTCACTTACCAAGAACCTGTTGTGGCAAGGAATCTCTCAACCTCAAGGAGCAGAATGTTAAGCGAGCATCTTTACAAAAGGGGAGATCCTGGTGTGGAGTCGCTGCCATCCAGGAGAGCTCCTGGGGCTTTGGGGCTGTCCACTATTTACAGAGTGAGATAATTGACCTACAGTCATATCCTCATGGGAACAAAATATCTAGGTGCCCACTCCAGACAGTGTTTTGGCTGCTGTTGCCAGCCATCCCCCAAAGTCCAGGTGCAAGTTGTCACAACTGATGTTGTGGTGGCCGTGGTGGCCACGGCCCGAGCAGGAGCCTGGGGGATGGAGGGTGGGGAGGAGGAGTGGGAAAAACAGGGAGAGCACCCCCACAGGGAGCTGCTCTGGGACCCTTCCCTGGAGTTACGGTGTCCAAAGCTCAGGCTGCTGTAGAGCTTGATGAGTCCTTTGCTGAGATTGTGTGGCCGTGTGCTGGGAGCAGGAGAGAGCCCTGGGACCTGTAAGGAGCAGAGGAGCCTTTGCTGCTTAACAGAGTGGTGGCGAGTGTGGGCACAGGGCAGGGAGTGTGTCTGTATGGGACCTCCTATGGGAGCATCCTCTAGTTTCTTTGTTTTAGTTGTTGTTTTTTTTTTTAATTAAAGCTCCAATGCTGAAGTAAGAATGGTGGAGGGTGGTGCCATGCCTTGCAGGAAGCAGTGGGGAGGGAAGGGGCCACACCTGGAGGTGGAGATGGAGTTGTTCCATGGGTCAGGTGGGTTTGGGGATGGTGCTGTAGAGCAGGAGCTCTGCCGGTCTCAGGGGCTTGCAGGCCCTCACTGGGGAAGGACAGGCAGGAGTTGGGGGGGCTCCAAGTGCCACGGTGGCCCCCCCAGGGAAGCAAGGAAGAGAGAGATGAGGATGAGGCACTGGCACAGAGAGGCAAGTGGAGGAGGGGTGGGAACTGGTGACTGGGCTTAGGGTGATGGAAAGGGAGGAGGAAAACCCACTGCCTGGAAGCCTGCTAAGAAAGCAGGTGAAGAAGGAAGGGAGACGGGAAGGCGAACAGGCTGAGATCTTCAGGGAACAAAGCAAAGGTTAAGGTGACTACTGAGAGCTTGGGGAAGCTAGGACTGAGCTGTAGTAGCTTTAGGACATTGTGAATGTTAAAAAAATCCCCAACACACCACTTGAAGCAGGTAACGATGAAAGATGAACTGGAGATGAGAATCAGTGTTGAAGCGCTGAGGCTCAGAAGCAGAAGAACTTCTGTTCAGGAAGAAATTTTTTACTATGAGGGTGGTGAGGCACTGGGACAGGTTGCCCAGAGAAGCTGTGGCTGCCCCATCCCTGGAGGGGTTCAAGGCCAGGCTGGATGGGGCTTGGAGCAACCTGGTCTGGTGGGAGGTGTCCCTGCCCAGGGCAGGGGGTTGGAACTCAATGATCTTTGAGGTCCCTTCCAACCCAAACCATTCTATGATTCATTATACTTGCATAGGCAGGGGGATGAAGTGCTGCTGCCTTTGGTGGGGGAGCTGGTTTTGGGGAGGGCTCTGCTGCAAAGGACAGTGGCAGCTCCTGGCAGAGCTGTGCCCCCTATTTCTGGAGAGGGTGGCAGTGCCCTGGCAGTGGGGACCCTGCAGGGACCTGTGCTGCCCTCCCTGCCTTTGAATGCAGCACCCTGAGCGAGACACCCCCCCTTCAGAAACACCTGCAGCACCTTTCTCTGATGGCTTTTCCTTCCAGACCACAGACTGCCCGGAGGGACCTGACCCTGTGCTGCTGGCAATGGCTGCTAACAACGCCATCACCTTCCAGCCCCAGATTTCGATCGCCCCGCGGGTGGGCGAGTGGCAAACGGGGCTGATGGACTGCTGCTCCGACTGCGGCGTGTGTGAGTAGCTGTGGACCCCCTCCTTCCTGGCCTCGGCTCTCCATGTGTTGCTGGTGTCTCCTCCACACCTCCTGTGCCATTGTCCCCCCCCGCTGCAAACCCTACTTTTGTCTCATCTGGGGTCAGGAGGCACAGCTCTGGTGTCTGCATCCCCCTCTAGGCTTTCCACCCTCCCTCTTCTTCTGCACCTCTCAGCCAAGCCCGTGTCTCGCTCTCCTGCAGGTCTTTGTGGAGCCTTCTGCTTCACCTGCCTGGGGTGCCAAGTGGCCGAGGACATGGGCGAGTGCTGCCTGTGCGGCCCCAGCGTGGCCATGAGGACCCTCTACCGCACCAGATACAACATCCCGGTCAGTGACAGGCTGGGGTCAACAGCCACCAGCTGGGTGGCAGGGTGTGGGATGAGGGAAGGAGAAAGGGAGGCCTGAGAGGAAGAGCAGAAACGGGGAGTTGCATGGGTAGCCCCGCAGGCAGGGAGCCAGGGACACATCTCCATCCTGGAGGTAATTCCATACCACACTGCCTCATCACAGAGTCTTCATGGATGGAAAGGACCTCTGAGATCACCGAGTCCAACCACACACACACAAAAGACCCCCACAATCTCAGGCACTAGAGCATGTCCTCAAGTGCCACGTCTACACCTTTCTGAAATCCCTCCAGGGATGGTGACTCCACCACCTCCCTGGGCAGGCCCTTCCAGGGCCTGACCACCCCCTCAGGAAAGTCATTCTTCCTCAGATCTCATCTAAACCTCCCCTGCCCCAACTTCAGACCATTTCCTCTGCTCCTCTCAGGATTCCCTTGGGAGAAGAGGCCAACCCCCACCTCTCTCCACCCTCCTGTCAGGGAGCTGGAGAAGGCAAGGAGGTCTCCCCTCAGCCTCCTCTTCTCCAAACTCAACATGCCCACTTCCCTCAGCCTCTCCTCGTAGGACTTGTTCTCCAGACCCCTCCCCAGCTTGGTGGCTCTCCTCTGGACACGCTCCAGCCCCTCAATGTCCTTCTTGTGGTGAGGGGCTCAGAACTGAACCCAGCCCTCGAGGTGGGGGCTCACCAGTGCCCAGTCCAGGGGGACCATCACCTCCCGAGTCCTACTCCCCACGCTGCTCCTGACACAGGCCAGGATGCTGGTGGCCTTCTTGGCCACCTGGGCACACTGCTGGCTCCTGTTCAGCCGGTGTCCACCAACACCCCCAGGGCCTTTTCTGCCAGGCAGCTCCAGCCACTCTGCCCCCAGCCTGGAGCGCTGCAGGGGGATGGTGGGACCCAAGGGCAGGACTTGGTACTTGGCCTTGTTGAACCTCATCCCATTGGCCTTGGCCCATCCATCCAGCCTGTCCAGGTCCCTCTGTAGAGCCTCTCATCCCAGTCCTCACCAGGCATAAGTATCTCCATGCTGTGGCCAGGGGTGAGCTGCCCAGGGGCATTGACAATTAAAAAGAGGAAGCCTTAAAAGCTGTTGTGGGAAGGGTTTATTCATACGATGTCCCTTTGCTCTGCAGGGTTCTATTCTGAATGACTGGGTTGCCATCGCGTGCTGCCCCCTGTGCGCGCTCTGCCAGCTGAAGAGAGACATCAACCAGAGGAAGGAGCAGGGCACGTTCTGGTAAGCTGGGTGTTCTGGTGCTGGTTGATAAAGTCACTGCTGCACAGAGCCAGGTGGGCTCCCAGACTCTCCCTTTCCACCAAGGCCTGGCTTCAGACCCAGGGTTGCTGCGGTGCAATGGCCAGGTGAAAGGGTGACCTGTCCCACAGCAGAACGTTGCTGGGAACCTCTTGAAGGATGGGGGGGGATCTGCTCAGGGTCCATAAAATCATCTAGGTTGGAAGGGACCTTCAAGATCATCTAGTCCAACCATCAACCTCACTCTGACAAAAAAACATCGCTAAACCATGTCCCCCAGCACCATGTCAACCCGTCTTTTGAACACCTCCAGGGATGGTGCCTCAACCCCTTCCCTGGGCAGCCCATTCCAAGGCTTGATAACCCTTTCCATGTAAACATTTTTCCCAGTATCCAACCTGAACCTCAAGTTCCTCAAAACCTGAGCTCAGCCAGGCAGGCAGTACTAGGGTGGGGGACACAGATGGACAGACTCTCCCTCTCTCTCTCTCTCTGTGGTGAGGCATGGCCCTGGTCCCTGACCCTCCTCTCTCATCCCATTGTAGATGCCACCACCCTTGCTGCACCCTTCAGAGCCGCTGTGGGCAGGAGTCACCGCTGCCCCAAGCGTTGGAGAACGCACCATGGGGGGTTCGTCTTGGCTGTGGTTGATTCCTCCTTCCCTGGGTAACACCAGCAATAAACAGCGGAGTTTTGTCTTCCTTCCCATGTGGTGGTATTTATTTCTCGTGTCCTCCTGCAGCACCAGAGGACAGCCTTGTACTTTTGTATGCTGTGTGCTCAGAGCAATGCCGAGCTTATCGGATAAAGGAGACTTTCTCTTGCAGACCCACACTGGGATGAGACCAGACCACAAAGTTCAGAAGAAGATAAGATAAAAATATTTAAAAAAAAACAAAAGCCAAGCTCGGCTTCTCCATGGACACTGGCAGGGTGCAGAGCTGGTGACACCACCACCCTGTGCTCGGACAGGCACGAGAGCCATGAACCCATCCCTGTCTCTGCTGGGTCACCTCTGCTGGTCCCAGATCCCCATCACCCACAGCCTGCCAGGCATGGTGGGTCTGAGCCTCCCCCTCGCAGCGTGGGCAGCCCTGTGATTTGGGGTGGCCGGTTTTGCGACAGCCTTGCTGGTCCCCGAGCCCACAGACGCGCTGAGAGCTCCCCGGGGCCAAGGTCTTCAAAGCCACCCAACCATGAGTGCTGGAGTGACAGGTGAGCCCCGTGCCTCCAGCTAGACCCCCTGCCCTCATCTCCCCTCCCACCATGATGGTTGTTCTGGGGTCCCCTGACAGTCATTCCTGGTTGGGGCCACCCTACCCCTTGGCCCATTCTGCCCCATCCTGGCAGGGGCTGCCAAGACCCTGTAGCTTTGCCCATCCCTGACCACAGGGTCTCTCCAGGCCTGCTTGTCCCTCAACACACACAGGGGTTGGGCCACTGGGACCAGAGCTCTGACCCCCACGAGAACCTGGGTCTTCACAGGGCTCTCGTCCTCGCAAGCAACGCCGGGGCAGCGCAGCGAGGAGACAGGAGAAGCACCAGCACTCTCCTCATCCAAGGAGCATCAAGGAGCAACGCCTGATGAGTGCTCAAAGTGACAACCACCCAGCCCTGCTGTCGGGGTGGTCCAGGGGTCACACAGCAGAACCCAGTGGGGTCGAGCATTCTGGAGGAGGCTTGTTCCTCAGGAAAACCCTGCTGTGTGTGGTGGCGTCGGCTGTTGGTTTCTGGGCGCAGGGGTGGCCCTGCTGGGGACCTCATCCTCCGTGCTGGGGCTGTGGGGTGGGTACAGCCCCTTGTCCCTGTCCCTGTGGCAGCCCCAGGCCAGGCTGATGTGGCTGCGCATCTGCCACTGCCACAACCTGTGAGGGTGACATGACCCTCAGGAGTACGAAGCACCACCAGGTTTGCGGGATGCTGTAGCACACCAGCACAGAGGCTTTGCTTCTGTGCGTTTATTACAAGTTACTACAAGTCACAATGAGTGAATCAAGTATGAGGAGGAACTTCTTTGGGGTGAGGGTGGCAGAGCCCTGGCAGAGGCTGCCCAGGGAGGTGGTGGAGTCTCCTTCTCTGGAGACATTCAAACCCACCTGGACACGTTCCTGTGGGACCTGCTCTGGGTGGCCCTGCTTTGGCAGGGGGTTGGACTAGATGATCTCCAGAGGTCCTTTCCAAGTCCATATGATTCTATCTACTTAGGATCCCTTACCTGTAGATATTATTTGAGGTCCTACAGGCATGATGCTCACCAAGCCACTGCCAGGAGCGGGGACGATGGAGGAGAAGCCTTGTCACAGTTCTATGGAGTCAGCCAGGTGTCCCTGCAAGGGGGATCTTTGCAGGGCAGCTCTAGCAGAGACGCTCATCTTGGGTAGGTACCATGTTGCTTCTAGACCTGTTCGATGTAGACAGGTTAAGTGGGTGCAGGGCAGCTGTTGTTGGAAGGTCAGCTGGCTGTTGGCATGGTTTCCTTGCTTCTTGTCACTGCAGTTTGTGTCCCCCGGCTCACAAGGGATGCCTGGGGCTCCTGGCTCAGCAGCTGTCCCTCTTGGCCAGTCTGTTACTGGGTCACCTCCTTGGCTCCTGCAGCTGGGCCGAGGGCCTGCTGGAGCAGGGCTGGTTGGGCCAGGAAGTCCTGCATGGCTTCTGGCCACGCTGCACAAACACGGGTGTGGAGCAGGCAATGCCCAAGGGTGGTCACTGCTCTGTAGGGAGCTCCCACAGCCCCCCAACCAACAGTCCCTCCCCAGTGTTTGCACCCTCTCGCAGTGGGGCTGCCCCAGGAGAGCTGGGGGGGGTACACCCACCTCATTTCTGCCCTTGGGAGTTGGCCTGGGAGAGACCTCCAGGCAGAGAAGGGCACAGGGCATGGATGTAATCCCTGAGGGAAGAGGCTGGGCTCCCCACCCAAAGAACACCTTGAGTACTGTGTCCAGTTTTGGGCCCCCTACCATAAAAAAGACATTGAGGTGCTGGAGCGGGTCCAGAGAAGGGCGACAAAGATGGTGAGGGGTCTGGAGAACAAGTATGATGAGGAGAGGCTGAGGGAGCTGGGGTTATTCAGCCTGGAGAAGAGGAGGCTGAGGGGAGACCTTATTGCTCTCTCCAACTCCCTGAAAGGAGGGTGTAGAGAGGTGGGGGTCTGTCTCTTCTCTCAAGTCACAGGCGACAGGATGAGAGGAAATGGCCTCAAGTTGCCCCAGGGGAGGTTCAGGCTGGATATTAGGAAAAATTTTTTCACTGAAAGGGTTCTCAGGCATTGGAATGGGCTGCCCAGGGAGGGGGTTGAGGCCCCATCCCTGGAGGTGTTCAAAAGACGGGTTGATGTAGTGCTGGGAGGTCTGGTTTAGTGATGATGCTCCTTGTTTGTTGTGCGGGTGTCTATTTTTGTCAGTTAGGTTGACGGTTGGACAAGATGATCTTTAAGGTCCCTTCCAACCTAGAAGATTCTGTGATTCTGTGAACAACTCACCTCCCTGCTGGGAAGAGTTCCTTGTTGGGGGCAGACCTGCCTGGGCCAGCCGGGCTTCTTGCTGCTTCAGATAAATGATGCTCCTCAGTCTCACAGCTCCAGGTGTACGAAGCTCCAACCGATGGACATTTGTGCTTTGAGTCGTTTCAGCTCCAGACAGTGGGTGTTTCAGATCAGATTTATTTGAAGCACTGAGCTATTTTAGCTCCAGCTACTGCCAATGCTGAAGAGATGCTCCTGATGCTTAAAGCTCTGCATTGCAGAAGCTCCCTCTTGTTACAAGCTAATTAAAGCTTCCCCCCCTTCATCTGTCGAGGTCCACCTAATTACAGCTCTGCCTTAAAAACTGCTCCTTCTTGTTAAAAACTAATTAAAGCAGCTTAGGCTTTCGACAAGGTTGTAAATCAACCATTGTCATCACCTGAATATTATTGTACATTGTCGACATATTATTTAGTAACTATTCCAGTGGTTGTACCAACCTTGACTTGAAGACCTGGAGGAAAAGTACCTTTTGTCCACCTGACGCTGGGTTCAGCTTGGTGCGTGCCAGCCTCCCTAACTTCAAGGACCAACGTGACTGGACCCCCATCTCCAGCAGCATCTCCCCCTTTCCCTGCCCGCCTTGCCCCCAACACTCTCCCATTCCACACACCTCTGCCTGCCCAAAGTTCCCCCCGAGCCTCTCTTTTGGGGGCTGAAAACTGCTCACTGAGCCTTCAAGTCCCCCAAAACACATGACTTAGTCTTTTCCAGAACTTCAGAAACGCAGCACTTGCCCCCTGGTTTTGAGCTCCCAAAACACAGGGCTTACACTTTTTTCTGAGCTTCAGAAACACAGGGCTCTAACTCTGCTTTTGAGACCCAAAATCATTCCCCAGAGATTGTTTTCTGGGCCTGAAAAGCACAACGTAATCTGTTTCAAGCAATGAAAACACAAAACTTACTATTTAAGTCACAGCACACGTGATTTATTTTTTTTTTTTTCTGAGCTCCAAAACCACAGGACTAAGTCTGCTCTCATGCTGTGAAAAGACAGGACTCGATTGATTTTTGAGCTTTAGAAGTGCAGGTCTCCTGCTCTGGGTTTTGAGTTCCAAAAATGCAGCACTTAAAATCTTCGTTATGGGGATGAAACCCTTGCACTGCAGGGAAATTCTGTTTCCCAACTCCGTATGAAAATTGCTGTCAGTGGCTGGGAGGGCTGTAGCCCCCCCCCCCCCAGGTTCAGGGAGAGCTTGAGAGCTGGGGAGGGTGGACACCCTCGCTGCAGGGACAGCCGGGCCCCGTCTCAGGGGCAAGAGATCGCTTTATTTTATACTTATTTCCCCAGCACCGCCTCCCACACACCCCAAACCCCACCGCGGGGCACAACAGCCACAATCCCCGGCGAGGAGCCCTGCCTGGGAAGCACCCCTCCAAGCTTCTCCAAGGCGACACCCCCCCCCGGCCCCCAACGAGCCCCGAGGAGCAGCAACCGGGGCCTTTCCCCGTCCGTCCGGGCACCGGGACCCGTTCTGGCCGCAAGAGACACCGGGGACACCACCGTCTGACCGGTGCAGGGAGCAGCCACGGGGACACACCCGCAACCCCACCACGACCAGGCCCCCGCACAGCATCCCCCCCGCCACAGGACGCGGTTCTAGTTTGCCTAGTCTCAGTTTCCGCCCGGGGAGATCAAGGCCGAGCCCCCTCCTGCCGCCGCCGGTCCGGAGCTGCGGGGCCAGCAGCAGAGTGAACTCCCACCAGGGCCGACAAGGTAGACCTAGCGGCCGGACAGCACTTCCCCACTCCCGCTGCTTCCCGTCCCGGCTCACGGCAGCGCTACGCTCCCCGGCCGGCACCGCATACCCTCCGCCAACCATCCCCGCCCTCCGCCACGGCTGACTGAGGCGGCTGCCGCCCTGCGCAGGCGCTCTGTGCCCCCACCCGGCCCCGCCCACCTCCACCCCACCAATCACCGCTCAGCTCGGCTCCGGCCCCGCTCACTCCCGCCCCGCCCGTCTCCACATCCACCAATCGTCGCGCCGTCCAGCTCCGGCCCCCGCCCACTCCCGCCCTGCCCAATCCAGGCGGAGGGGCGGGGCGGGCTGAGGGTCACCCCGCGCCGGCCCGTTCCACGGCGGCTGCGGCTGGAGGGGTGTCCCCTGTTTCGCCGAAGGCGGCAAGAAGGCGGTGGGGAGGGGGCGCCACCTGTCCTTTGGGATCACGCCGCCAAAAGATAGCGCCT